AAATGTGTCCCCAAGTGGAGTCGCAAAAACCATCAAGCGCTACAACGAAACTGGCACACATGAGGACCGACCCAGGAAAGGAAGACCAAGAGTCACCTCTGCTTCTGAGGATAAGTTCATCCGAGTCACCAGCCTCAGAAATCGCAAGTTAACAGCAGCTCAGATCAGAGACCAGATGAATGCCACACAGAGTTCTAGCAGCAGACCCATCTCTAGAACAACTGTTAAGAGGAGACTGCGCCAATCAGGCCTTCATGGTCAAATAGCTGCTAGGAAACCACTGCTAAGGAGAGGCAACAAGCAGAAGAGATTTGTTTGGGCCAAGAAACACAAGGAATGGACATTAGACCAGTGGAAATCTGTGCTTTGGTCTGATGAGTCCAAATTTGAGATCTTTGGTTCCAACCGCCGTGTCTTTGTGAGACGCAGAAAAGGTGAACGGATGGATTCCACATGCCTGGTTCCCACTGTGAAGCATGGAGGAGGAGGTGTGATGGTGTGGGGGTGTTTTGCTGGTGACACTGTTGGGGATTTATTCAAAATTGAAGGCACACTGAACCAGCATGGCTACCACAGCATCCTGCAGCGACATGCCATCCCATCCGGTTTGCGTTTAGTTGGACGATCATTTATTTTTCAACAGGACAATGACCCCAAACACACCTCCAGGCTGTGTAAGGGCTATTTGACCAAGAAGGAGAGTGATGGAGTGCTGCGGCAGATGACCTGGCCTCCACAGTCACCGGACCTGAACCCAATCGAGATGGTTTGGGGTGAGCTGGACCGCAGAGTGAAGGCAAAGGGGCCAACAAGTGCTAAACACCTCTGGGAACTCCTTCAAGACTGTTGGAAAACCATTTCAGGTGACTACCTCTTGAAGCTCATGGAGAGAATGCCAAGAGTGTGCAAAGCAGTAATCAGAGCAAAGGGTGGCTATTTTGAAGAAACTAGAATATAAAACATGTTTTCAGTTATTTCACCTTTTTTTGTTAAGTACATAACTCCACATGTGTTCATTCATAGTTTTGATGCCTTCAGTGAGAATCTACAATGTAAATAGTCATGAAAATAAAGAAAACGCATTGAATGAGAAGGTGTGTCCAAACTTTTGGCCTGTACTGTATATTTTTTCAGAATGCAAAGAAAGTCTTTTTGTACAAACAACCACAGAAATGCAGCTGTTTTCTTTCTGCTGTGACGGTTTGATTGTTTGCCTGGGAAAGCTGGGGCCAGGACACACAGTAATGGCCTTCTGTAGGCAGCCTGGTGTGCGTGGCTCTATTCAGAGTGGCTGCAGTTTGAATAGGCTGGGGGAGTTCGAGACAAGGGATGCAAATCGTTTATATGGAAAAGGCAGAGCTCAGACAAAAGCCCCAGTGTTCGTTTGAGTCGGTCATTAAGTCTATTTTGTGTTTGTGTGTTTGAGTATGAATGTGCGTGACTGTGACTTTATACATTGGCGGCTTGTGTTACAGATGCAAACTGGATATACAACTAATGCTAATAATATCTGCTTTGACAGCGTGGCTTTTCTCGGCAAAGATAAGAGGAAGTTGTGGGTCAACTTCAAAACTCTATTGGTCTCACATTCTATACAAAAATAGGCCAGTTTTCTCTGGATTCTGGGTCACTGCTCCCTTTGATTATATCAGAAGAGTTTTTTATATTGCATCCAATCCTATTAGGCTCAGGAATGTGTTGTTCATGGAGCCTGTAAGTGAGAATGCCCATGACAATAATGATGGACTTTCATCAGGCTTAGTCACTATGTTCTGTTTTCGGCTGTTTCTTGTTAAGCCTGGCTTTCCTGAACCTTTTAAAGTGACAGTTCACCCCCGAATCAAAAATACATATGTATCCTCTTACCTGTAGTGCTGTTTATCAGTGTAGATTGTTTTGGTGTGAGTTGACAAGTGTTGGAGATATCAGCCATAGAGATGTTTGCCTTCTCTTGAATATAATGGAACTAGATGGTACTCGGCTTGTGGTGCTCAAAAGGCCCGTTTCCACCGCAGGAACTTCGGGGTAATTTTACGGGGCTGGGGCTGTTGGTGCGTGTCTCCACCACAGGAACCACCCCGAAGGACAGAGTTCCGGAACTTTTACAGGGGCTAAACAAGTCCCTGCCTCGGAGTAGGTACTCAGAATGGCCCCGAGAAACTCCTGGCTGGGGCTTGGGGATTACTTGGTGCTGATTGGATATACTCAAGGCGGGATGTGACGTTTTGTAAATAACAACATGGTTATCGTAGTTTAGCTAGGCTAACTGTTAGCTGTTAGCGGTGTCTGTAATAACTCAATAAACGGTCTGTGAAAAAAATATTTTTTCCAGCGGATATCTTAGTTACAACATGATTGAGCTAGCAAAGCAGTTTTGTGTTGCTATGTGTGGTATTTATTCAGTTTTGGGAAATCACGATGTCTAGAAAGCATCAGCTGACAGGGACAGCTAACAGCAGCAGCAAAGCTAACATCAGGACGTCATCTGTTAAAAGCCTCCCGTTGTCGGATACAACATGAAACTACTCCAGTTAGCTCAATCATGTTGTAACTAAAACATCCGCAGGAAAAAATTTTTTTTTCACAGACCGCGACCGGAGTTATTACAGACACCGCTAATGGCTAATGGCGTCCCTACGCCGCTACGCCCCTACGTTGCGCAAATGGTCGCGCAACGATTACGTCACATACAGAGCCCGGTAACTTTACAGGAACCTTCCTCCTACTCCGCTGTCTCAGTGGAGACACGGCGGTTGAGAGGGCCGAGCGAGAGGACGTTCCTGTAGTAGTTCCTGCCCCCCAGATAGTACCAGGAACTTCTTCATTGGAAACAGGCCTAAAGTGCAGCAAAGTCCGTTCTTCTTTCTACTGTACAACAGCCATAGAGCTGCAATCAATTAGTTGTCAACTATTAAATGAATCACCAACTGATTTGATAATCGATTAATCTGAGTATTTTTTAAGAAAAAAAGTAAAAATTCTCAGATTCCAGCTTCTTTAATGTGAATATTTCCTGGTTTCTTTACCCCTCTATGAAAATAGACTGAATAACTTTGGGTTGTGGAAAAAGCAAGACTAATTGATTTATTGAGAAAATAATTAACAGATTTGTTCATTCATTCATTTTCTGTAACAGCTTATCCTGTTAGGGGTCGGGGGGGGGGCTGGAGCCTATCCCAGCTGACACTGGGCGAGAGGCAGGGTACACCCTGGACAAGTCACCAGACTTCCACAGGGCTGACACATAGAGACAGACAACCATTCATGCTCACATTCACACCTACGGCCAACTTAGAGTCACCAATTTACCTAACTTGCATGTCTTTGGACTGTGGGAGGAAGGCGGAGTACCTGGAGAAAACCCACGGGGAGAACATGCAAATCTTTTGTTGTTAGTGAGCATGTCTATTGCTAGCTCACCTAGCACCATTAAGCTAGCTAACGTTACAGCTCAGGACACGAGGAGGAGGATGCCATTGATGTTTACATCTCGCACTGCCACGAGCCTCTCATCCATGAGTAGATGCATGCTTCTTTCTGTGCAGTGACAAGGTTGGCTGGTGTAGTTTAGTAGAAAGAAAATAGTTCCTACAATAAACTGTTCACAACAAGCTCTGTGAATTATTTTGAGTAACCAGGTCATGATTTCTGGAAAGAGACATTGCTGTTGAGTAGGGATAGACCGATATGGATTTTTTAGGGCCGATGCCGATACCGATTTTTTTCTATCACCCTTAGCCGATGACCGATTATGGACTGCCGATTATCTTGAGCCGATATTTGGGGCCGATACTGCTTTTGCTCCCTCAATTTACATCAAAAAAATGACACAATGATAACAAATATTACAAGTCTCATGTTTAAAATAAGAAACATTTATTGAACAGTAAAAAATACTAAAACAAGATGGAAAGTTGAGGTAGAACAGGTAGAATATTATTATTATTATACATTAAAATAAAAAAGAGTTCAGTGCTTTTAAATCTTCCAGTAATGTCTTTATAAAATAAACAAATATTTAAGCTGAAGCATAAATAAAACAACAACTACTGTACACAGTAGGATTCAACAGCTTTGTTCAACTTAACCACATACTTTCAAATGAAAAAAAGTGCCAGGGAAAAATAAATCCGCGAACCCACATGCGTATCGGTCGATGCCGATACAAGTAAAAAACTCAAATATCGGCCCGATATATCGGCCGGCCGATGTATCGGTCTATCCTTACTGTTGAGTTTTCCAAATGTATTTTTTATATCTCCAATACTCTGCAATTCACACCAAAACAATCTAGACTGATAAACAGCACTACAGGTAAGAGGGAAAATATGCATTTTTGATTTTGGGGTGAACTGTCCCTTTAAAGCCATTGAGACAGAGTTCACTGGCAGAGGGTTTGCTAAGAGTGGCATTACTTTTGATTCTTGCTCCCTGACTGGAGGGATTTACTGAAAACACATGTGCTTCACTTTTTCCGCCACACCTGTGTAAACACCTAATAATTTAAAACAGGAATTATAAACCGGTACAGTGACTTTTTGACTCCAGTCTAGGTCATAAGATAAGCCTGGCTACCTGGCAGCGACCCTGATCCCATTCCCAGAACAAGCCCTTGCCTCTCTCTCTACCCTCGTCTTGCCATCGCTGCTTTAAGCGAGCAGCAGGAGACATGAAGTCGCAGAGTCTGGGAAAGTGGGCGAAAGGCTCCTGAAGGTCAATGTGTAACACTTGGCTCACTGTGGAGAAACACCTTGTTTATTTAGCTGAAAACTGGTTTAAACAGGAGATTTCCTCTTACTGTATGAGGTCAGAGTCTTTGAAGTGCTGAAGTGTGTTGGGTGATGAAAGTGTTTAGGGAGGGGGGAAAATGTTTTCAAAACATTTTCATTAGGTGATATATTTACCGTCTGTAAGGTGAGGGTGAAGCAAGAAAATGTGAAATATACTGTGATTACAATCAATGGGACTATAACAACTCCATGTTTTATAACTTGCTACAGGTGCTGGAGAGTTTTAAGATCATGGACTACAGCCTGCTGCTGGGTGTGCATGTCCCAGACCAGAGCCAGAGAGACGGGGGTGAGCCGGGCCAGGCAGGCGGGGACGGGAGGAGACCTGTGGGTCAGAGGGTGCTTTACTCCACCGCCATGGAGTCCATCCAGGGAGACGGCAAGGCTGCCGAAGCAGTCACCACAGACGACACGTGAGTGGGTTCAGCTGGGGGGAAAACGCACATGTTATGCACACATATTTGGGCATACACACGCTGCCTCTGTGCGTCTCTTAATCTCCACCTTTTCTCTCGCAGACACAGTTATACAACTGTGCTCATACCTCACGCGGGACACTCAGGCAGTGTACACACACAGTCAGGCTCTCATATAACCATAGCTACTCAAATACAAACACAGCCACTGTTCTGTGTATTTACAGCAGTACACACAAATGTAAATACTGTAAGTGCCTCTTTTACAAACATTTGTGCAGTGTTTTCGAGCATTGCAGAAGGAGAACAGTGGCTATTCTTTAACTGCTGCTGTGTTTTTTTTATTGTGTTTTAGGATGGGTGGCATCCCTGCCAAAACACACAAAGAAGAAAAGCTGCTCATCTTCCTGGGTATCATAGATATTCTACAGTCATACAGGTACTGATCTTTTTAAGATCAAATCGACATGCTACATGTGGACACTTACTCCACGCCATAAAAGTTTAATAATCAAAACATTTCGATCCTACAAGTGGAATTTGACATTTTGACCTGACAAAGGATTGAAACACTGTCCCGATTAAGCTTTTATGGCATGGAACAAGTGTGCAGGCGTTAAATTTTTCCTACATGTACGTTGTTTTGGTTGCCTTGCACCTATGTGCTGCATGTGTAATTATTCTCCCTCAACTCCTTATATAAACACGCTGTCATCTTTGGTGCTTTCTTATTATTACTGATCAGATCTGTTGACTTTTGTGGCCATGCATTTAATCCGACTATGAGCTGCAGAAATGTCTCACTTTCCGAGAAGTACAATGTGTCATCAATAGCTAATACACACGACAGTTAAGAGTGAAAGTGCATGAGTAGTTGAGGTCTGACTAAAGAGTATGACAACACGGGGTGACTCAGAGTAACTGCTTCGATTGATGCGTGCCCTTCAAAAAGACCTCTTAATGTTGAATTATCACCCTGCATTGATGGAAAGCCACTTTACCTCACCCCTAAAAGGATTTTTTTCTCCATCCAACACGATTTAAATGGACACAGCGGTCTATAAGTCTTCTTTATTTACACATTGATTTTTTTTTCTCCCTGAGTGCAAAAGCGTCGGGTGAGAGAGGAGGAAGCCTTTCGGTTCATCAGCTTTTCAAACTTGTGGGAATTTAAAAGCATCACATAAATCTATGTCAGCCTGGTTGGCTCAGGCACCGAATGCACGCAGGAGTGGGCGAGGTGAGATCAGGTCAGGAAGGGAGGATGAATAGACTCAATTTGTCTCTGCTTATGGTGCCTTATTTCTGGGAGTTTGCTTCCCTCAAAGACAATGTTACATAACTGTAAACTTTCATGTATTTTCTGCTTAAATGCTGAAAAATGACCTGTGTTTGTTTTGCACCGAGGGGGGGGGAGTGTCTCAGGTTTGATCAAGCTTAAAGGGAAAGTTGTTGGGTAAGCGTATACGTTAGTGACAAGGCTTCTTCTTGTTTCCTTTCTCCTCCAGGTTCATTAAAAAGTTGGAACACTCGTGGAAGGCCCTGGTGTACGATGGGGTAAGCTGATAGCAAATCTGACACTGCTGCTTTCATGAATGAACCTTTTATTTGGTCACAGACTCTCAACGTTTTTCTAGTGGTTGTCTGGTAAAAAGCATTTTCTCTGCCTGTCCTCAGGACTCCGTCTCGGTGCACCGACCAGGGTTTTATGCCAGCCGCTTCCTCAAGTTCATGAGCACACGGGTCTTCAGGAAGACTCAGCGTAAGTCTGCAGGTTGATCGTCGTGACATGGACGGGAAAATGAAACAAAGAGAAGGGGCGGCAATGGGAAGTAGGAAATCCTGGCCTGTTAAGAAGAGTCAATCTGTAGGCGGTTGTTATTGTCTATTGCCGGGCATTTATGCGCTGTCACTGCAACATAATTAGATCAGTGGTAATTCACTTGAATTAACTGGTGTATTGTTTCCTTGTATTGTCCTCATGATCACCCAGAGCTTTTCCTTTTCTTGCCAGTTATTGTCTTCTATAGTTACCATGTTGCATAAGCTTCTGAGGCACATGATGCAGAAATGTGAGCTTTGATTAGATTTAAGGATTAACTGATGATTTCTTTTTAAATGAAGGATGTCATGTTGGTTATGTGTAAGCAATCATGTGGTTGAGTTACTCAGAACAGATTGAGTTTGTTATTTGGCAATCCAGACACAAAAGTACACAGTTAGGAACCACTGAGATAGATAAAAAAGGTTGATAAACTCCTTCGCTACCTAAGTCCACGAAACTGATTTATCGACAGTCTATTAGGCTGTAGGTAAAGCAAGGAAGTAGTTTGTATCTTACATTAGCATCAAATATAGTAACAATGTTATGCAACCATGCGAGACCCCCCCTGTGGAAATCAACATGGCTGAGGCAAAGATTTGGGGATTTAGCCGTGCTATTAACCATCGCCAAGTCCCGTCAGAGGGAGATGACAGGAAAGGATTTAATTTCATGCCCTGCTTGGGAGGCAGTGTAAGGATGGCTTCGGGGACACTTGTGTAAGCGTCATTGTGCATTCTAACAGTTTAATGACTTCGTTGCTAATTTTGGAGGCAGAGCATCTGAGTTTCATTGTGTGTGAACGTGGCTTCAATCAGGATAATCGACGTTTTCCACCATCTCCTCCAATTATCTTCCCTTTCTGCCTCCCTGGATCTTTATCTTTATCTCTTTTCCTTTTCTTTCTCTCACTCGGTCCTTTTTTCTTTTTGCTCTGCAGCACTTCGATTCTCGCCTTCAAAGAGGACTCGTACGTCCATTCCGGCTCTGAAGTCGTCCTCACAGGAGATCCTTTCATCGCAGGCAGATGAGAGGAACGAGGAGGACGGGAGGGACAGGCTCGGAGGAGCGTACAGCCTGGCCAGTCTGGACGGACAAGGTATGCAAAACAACACTTCTAATTCATATCTTGGGTGTTTAACAGCATTCAGGGATGCTCCTAGAAGTGCCTGAATTATTAAAGAGATTGTCTGAAACTATTTTATTATAAAAGCACTTGCCTTTTAACCATAGTCCTCAAAATATTTCTCTTAACTGCCTCCTAATTTGCCATCTCAACCTCAGTAATTTTCTAGTTTTTGTGGTTTATTAGAGCTTTTTAGAACGACCAGAGGCTCATAAACAGCCACTTACACTGGGCCATAAAAATGTTGTCCTCCCAGCACTGTCCCGGAGGGGGCAGCTGTCACTGGGTGATCCAGTGTTTGGCCTTGATGGAAACAAAAACAGAGGCTACGTTGTTGTTAGCAGCCCATCAGATACAGAAGTTGCATGTTTGTGTGTCCGCAGGGCATGTGTAAGAAACATTATCTCATGATCCTAATCTGACCTCAGTGCAAGAAGGTATATGAAGCAGCTGTTTGAGACAGCGTGTCTGCAGTGATGCCAAGTTCAGCAACAGCGTCTGACCTTTGTGCTCGATGTGATTAAGGAGGGTTAGCCAACGCCACACCAGGAGCAACAAGGGTGTGGGGCGGAAGGAGAAGTCACGAGTCATGTGTCCTCTTTCTCTTTACAACCGACGCTCTCCCACTAGTGTCTCCAGCTGTGATGCAACATGCTATAAAGCAATTTGGATTGCAACACTTCCTGACTCTCTCTTTGTGGTTACTAAATCTGTCTCAAAGAGGACAGAGAATATCGTCTTTTCTTTGAGGCATGGCGTTAGTACTAGGAAATATATAATTAATGTACCATTTAATCAGTTAGGGTTACTGGAATTTTTTATCCTGGACCCTGTTTTCCAGTTTCATTTTGTGTCTGTCGACTGAATGAATTTGTTGATATGTTGATAATGATAATTATCAACATATCAACAAATGATGTTGATAATGTTTTGGGGCTGTTTCTGGTCAAATGAAAAGGATCTTGCTCTTTAACAAAAAGGTCGACCTCTGTAGGAATCCTATCCCTAGTGTTGTCAGACACTTAGAATAATAATCTGACCTGTCCGTGGCAAAAACAAGCACCTTCAGCCGATGTAAATTGACGGCGTGAACATGCCCGTTACAGTGTGTTTTGCGGCTGCAGCACTCTCACTCAATTCTTGATCAAATTTTGTTTGTTGTTCCAATGAGTCCCTTAAGCCCTGTTTCCACCAAGATGTACAGCTCAGTTCAGTACGCTTTTTTCCCATTTCCACTGTGAAAAGTTGTGGATGGTACCGATGGAACCATTCCGTACCGTCCTCTGTTGGGGTACCTAGCACACAGCTCTGAAAATGTTGGCGTGAAGCCTCACTTTGTGGATAATAAACACTTTGTATACTTCTGTGTCACCAGTAATGAGGAAATACAGTGAGTGCTGAATAGAGCAGGGAGTGACAGCAACCCCGCCCACATTTAAGAGTACTGTTTGTGGTGGAAACACTAGGGTCTAGTTACCGTGCCTGAAGGGTTACTTCTGGTTCTAATGGTACCATACCAACAGTGTTTGGTGGAAATGGGGCTTTAGACACAGAAGCATGGGAGAATAAGGTCCAGGCTGAGAAATACTGATGCTACCCGTGAAATGAAATTCTCATGCCCTGCCTTGTTTAGTCATTATGCCTGTTTTCCATGATGGAAAGCACAACAGAATTACAAGAATAACTCTCTGATGGATCATCCACAGCTGTACAAAGCTTTTAATGATCCTATTGACTGACTAATGGGGCATTTTTGGTCTTCCAAGAAATTATGGCCGTGGATGTCAGTGTTGGTCGAGTGTCTGCTCAGTTAAAGGAGAACTCCATAGATTTTACCAAGAAAAAGCTCAGAATACACACAATGGTTAGTGCTACTCAGCCTGTGAAAAACGTTGTATAATATGTGGACCTTGAGGTCCCGTCTCGTCTTGTTTTCCTTTACTGACATGTGAATGTCTTCTCCTCAGCTGTATTCGGCTCTTACCTGCGTCCCGATCTGGTCCCCGCCAACCCATCTTTCTACGAGGGCTCCTCCATGGGAACCATCTCCACCTCCTCCATCTTTGTCAACGTGGACAACCAAACAGAGGAGAGGTAGGTGTCTACATGTTTTCCTCCTTCTGCTTGTTTTCATTGTATCACGACACTCTGTGTTGACTCAGGGGTGGAGCATGTACCTTATCACCTTAAAACTAAGATGCAAGGTCACTGTGCGCGGTATGGTGTCGAGGACAAGACGGACAGCATGTGTATTTGCCACGCCCGACACACACATGCACACACACTCCCACGTTATTGTCACCTGTGCTTACATTACATGGTCTTATTGGTGACGTGCGTCATGGAGCAGGTGACTCAGCTGGTTTGGCAACATGCATCCAGTACACATCCTACACATCATACGGACACTAGAGTCAGAGGAGGAGGAGTGTGATAATGGTTAGTGTCTTTCATTTACAAGAAAGGGAAGAGGAAATACTCCAGAAGTGCTGCACACATCTTTCCATGGAAAGGAATATTAGTTTATGCTTTGGAAAGCCTCGCTTGGCTTGAATTTATTAACCAGAAATTCTTACTGTATAGTGTACAGAGTGCTTTACAGTGTTGACGAACAGTTGAAGACCTTTATAAGTTATATTTTACCTCGTTATGTTGCAAAATCTCATAAAGTTGTGACTGTACATTATGAAATCATTACCATTTATTGCACCTACACTAGACTACTTTTATCACACTGCATCATCTGCTTGTAAATAAAGGTCAGTTTCATTTTGCCTCTCACAAGAAGCCTCCGAACATTTCGTCCTCTGCCCTTTTCATGTTTCCCATCTTTCACCTTTCCTCCTGTCCAGCAGTGTCAGGTTCAGCTCCCTCTCTGAGGCTCCATTGTGTGACTCGCCCGGTCTTGTCCCCTTCATCAGTCACCTGCCTGCTGCGCTGACATTGTCCTGTCAACTGTTTTTATAAATATTTAAACGGCAGCTTTACTTTGTGCCATTATGCCGCAGAAAGACGATGACAAAAGAGGACAAGCGGGTGCAGTGGGGACTGTATATCCAACCGACAATAATCCCTGTCTGACAGCTGGTCTGCCTTTTGCGGCAGTAACACCTTGTGTTTGTGATGTGTCAGGGCAGCATTGTTTTAAAACAAAGCTCTTATTTACATGTATCTCTTTATGCATCCATCTCTACAGCTGTGCTTCCCTGCTCCCCTCTCTACCTGGCTGTCATTTTGACTTTGAACACAAAAAGTAGTCAATCACGTGTCATAAAGGGGGAGAAATACATTCCTGAATTTATCAGTCAGCTGATGTACATACAAGAAAAACAGCTCTCATGTCGCCCCCTGGTGGCTGAAAAGGAACACTAAGGGAGGATAAACAACCTTGCACAGATTATCAGTCTGGTGAAGCTACTTTTAAAGATATTTTATTCAGGTATTGATCCCTTCTCATAGCACACTCTATTTCATTATTAAAGTATATGTGTTTGTTGCAAGTTTTCTGCTTTTAATTAGTTAAATTGAAGTTCCCTTTTCCATGTTTCCCCTCCTAACTACTTCCTGGAGATACTGAGAGAAGTTACCACAGTTGGAATAACTGCATAAGGATAAAAGCACAGTGATGGTTTTGTGTTTGCAGGAGAAGCTGACAGCTCTGCAGGCTTCACTTTCTCACGCAATTGTCTCATCTTTTAATGCATACATGACACTTTATGTCATAGGTGTATATTTCGAGGGTGTTGGGTAGATGCAGGGGACATGTCCCTCTCAATATCTAGAACAGGGGTGTCAAACTCATTTTAGTTCATGGGCCAAACACAGTCTGATTTGATCACAGGTGGGCCGACCACTGCATAATATCCTATAAATAACAACTTTTTTTGTTTAAAGAATTACATTTTAAAACACTAATCCATTTACAAAACAGATGCTAAACAGCCTGTGGTGTCTTCAAAAGAGTAAATGCAATTTCAACAGTATTTCCTCTATGTTTTCACATTCAGTCAGTCGCCTACTCACTGTCACTACATATGCATTTTGCTGTACATTTCCTTTCCTCTGTAGTAATCCTGACATCACCACAGGAAACTCAAGTGAAAGAAAAGAATTGTATTCTGGTGTTTAACTTTCTCCTGAAACCTGGCACCTCTCAGCCTTCACAAGTGCATCACTATTAAGTGTGCAAGGTCATCCAGCGGGCCGTAATCGACCCTTTGGCAGGCCTGGGCCGTATGTTTGACACCCCTGATTTAGAACATGTGCATTTGTTCCCTCCCAACAAAAACATCAAAGTTGCAGAGGACATTTATTTTAACAAAATTAAAGATATTTCCACCGGAAATTGATGCAGAAAAGATGAAAATTGGTGCATAAAAATTCACCAGAATTAGTTTGACACCCCCTCCCCATATTGGAACAACACCTACACCTTTGCTTCCTGCTCATCATTCTGAGCAGGAAGCAAACAGTTTCTGGTTCTGATCTGAGACAAAAATGCTTTTTCCCTGTGAAGCTTCTGACGCATTTCTTTCCTCATGCCGAAACTGAAATTACTTAAATGCAAGTTGTGCAGTTTCCTAAAGTAATTATGTTGTGAAGTTTGTTTGTGTCTCTTATGCTACACATTATGTGTCTATTGGTGGTGCCTACTCTCCCAGCAGGGGTCTCCTTTTGACATAGTCATTGTGGTCAAATCTGGCCAATCTTTAGATTTGTTCATTTCCTGTGAGACACCTCTGAGCTGAGGCCTCCACTGGCTCGGCACCAGACAGGTTCCCCATCCTGCTCACAGTCAACTCATCTCTTAATCTCTATGATGTCAGAGATGCTGTAATAGTGCGTGATTAGTTCCTGGAGCGTGTGTTTTTCATCAGCACTATTTATACAGCTGCTTTATTTTAACCGGCCCAGACAGTAAACTCACACGGCAGTCTCCTGCGTAGGCTAATATGAAAATATATTCTTCTGTTGCAGAGATGACGTTGCATCCAGCTCCACGTTCACCCTGGAGGACAGCGCAATCTGCCTCACTTCAGAGCAGAGCACCATGGACGTGGACATAGACCGCGATGATGGATCTGTTCTTGATGTCTACTTGGTGAGTTGTTTCTGCATCAGGCTACTGTCACATTCTTGTTTTGTCCTCATGAGGTGTTCAGATATTGGTGATCTGTGCTTGCTGATAATCACTCTTTTCTCTCTTCTTCCTGACAGTGAAAAAAAGCAGCTTTACAACCTTCATTTCCTCCTGCCAATCATACGACAATCGCCGCACTCCATTGGACCAGCCACACTGGCCTTTGACTCCACTTCCAGTGCTGCTAGATCCATGTTGCCACTTGTATTGCCAACACATAAACAGACTGAGATTCTCCACCAGTTGACGGACTAAAAGAAGACACCAACAGTCACAGTGAAGGACATCTGCAGGAACCACGTGACATAGATCATGTAATGTGACGGACATCAGGCTGAACTGAGTGTTGCTTTTTAGAGCATGCGTCAACGCAGTGCCATTAAGTTTTATATATGTATACTGTTTTCATGGCCTACACAGAGACCGAAATATTTACTATATATACACGAGGGTAGATACATTTCTTTAAATGTTTTTTTCTGCTGACCAGAAAGAAATGAAAGAGCCTTTTCAAAGTTTTGCAACTGTGTAAGTTGCTGATAAGAAGAGAAATGTTTACAGTGAATTTGTGGTGGCGTCTTTGTCCCTGATCGACAGAGACACGACGATGTCACACAAAGGACACGAGCCAGCTTGTAGCCACAGACGACACGGATGAGAAAAGACTCACATGAGCAGACATGATGGATTCTGAAGCTCCCGAGGCCGAACACAGACTGTGACGTGGCTTAAGTGGCCACCTAATCCTAACCGGGCTGCTATTTACGCTGTCCTGACTGACAGGAACCTAAAGCCTGGCGACAAGCTGCTGTAAAGTGAAGTGAGAAAAGACAGTTACTGGATCTTGGATGAATCACAGAACGGAGAGCCGGCGCGCTCTCTCTTGATCAAAAGGCACTTTTGACATTGGTTATGATAACTGTAAGAAATATTTTTCCTCTGAAGACGTTGCTTAGGTGGGTGGGCGACCTGACATGAGCACAGATTTGGATATGTGAATATGCACTTTTCTTCTTTTTTTCTTCCTCTTTTTACTCTACAAGTGCACACCTCTGTAAGTCATTGATACTACATGTACAGAGACAGCGAAGGAACATTGTAGATCACTTTTTGATGTGGAGCTAATAGTTTTGTGAGGTTTGCGTCATGACTGAAGATGCTTTTACTCAGGATATCCTTTGATACTGAATAAGTGTGTCCTCTTCAAATAGTTATGAGACATGCATCCTATGCTTAGAAGCTGTCCAATACCTCTTCATCAAGACCATATCCAACTATAAATGTTGAAATCCACGATCACGCGTCGGTTGAGACCATAATTTATTATGTAAATCTCAATATTTTACCATTTGCTGAAAAAAATACTTTAATCGCTGAATGTAAAGACAATGCATATTTATATTTAGAAGAGACTCCTATAAATAAACTGCTAAAATTCAATGTCTGTTCAGCTACTTTAACTTCTAGAAAAGTTCTTCATCTTTGCATATTACAGCTGTGTGTATGCATCATCTAGGGCAGTGGCACTCTCAGGAATATTTCATAAGGGTGGCAAGATGGGGCCATGGAAAGTCTTGGTGTGGCACACAGAAACAAAAGCTGTAACTGAATTCCAGGAGTTGTGTTATGTTGTTCAAGTACATATGCCAGTTGAAAACTATGTCAATTGATACTGATCAATATTGTTTAACTGTTATTACTAATTATCTGATATGCATAGACTTATTTGAGTACAGTTAACATTTTGAGTTCCACCACAATCCTGTACGAATGTGTGATGTGTCTATACATTTTAGGCGATTCATCATTCTTCAGAGAGGCTGGTCGACCTTTTCCCAAAGAGGAAAAATACACAGCTTTAATTTGAAGGACACTGATTGTAAGGGAACAATGAGGAGACTCATGGGTACCCAGAGAACTCATTTTCATCTAGATATCTTGAGGTGAGAGTTCAAGGGACCCCTTTAAAAATGGCTATGGCAGTTGTTGCCTCGCTTAAATTTAGCTTTAATTTAGTGTCATTTGTTCCCCTCTCTGATAAGCCATGCTGACATGCTTGATGCTAATGGTTGCCTTAGCATGTCTAGCTTGTCTAGCATTGAAATGAACGCTCCACAGCCTTTTAAAGATGGTAATAGTAGTCTCCAAGTATGTTCCATGGGAAGGGGTGCCAATGTTTCAGATTTCAATAAAAGTCTGTCCATGTATTGATCTCTTTAGAAGATGAAATAATCTTCACCTTCACAGCAGTGCCACTTAAACAGTAGACCACACTTGTGTCTATCGTGTAACAATTTTAATTTACAGAACATTGTCAAATTGCATTACATTTAGTGCAAATAATAACACTTCTGATGTACAACTTAGAAATATACAAAGTGTGTAGATTACTGACGAGATATCAAAATTAAAAACACTAAATGCATTCTTAAGCTGACACTGCTCATAGATCTAGCTTTTGTAATTATCAGCAAAACAATTATCCAGATCCTTCCTAACCTCCGACCCCTTAGACCCCCAAAAAAATCTGACGGTGACTGTTCCACCGTGCAGATCTACTGATTGCAAAACTCCCAACTTTTGATGGCATCTAACACAACCTAGAGTAAATTTAAATCTTGAGGTAAGATGATGTGAAATGCTGACCTTTCCTCCACCCCCGCTTCATTTCAGTGTTGATAAATGCACATCTGGTGGCTGTACAGTAAAGATAACCAGGATTTTTTTAGGGTTCCTCCTGGTGTCTAAGGCATTCTGGGGGTAGTTTATCAGTCAAAGGGCAGGAGGCCACTGCACTGTAGTGTGGCGTGTGAAATGTAATGTTAGAGTATGACTAAGAGTCTAGGGTGTAGCTGATATCCTACTCAACATTTTACAACTTTACCGTATCCTGCACAATAGCAGTGGTACTAATTTACAAACCTGACCCTTAAGAATGCACAGACAGATTTTTTTCTGCCTCATCAGGGGCTGAAAACAATGAAAAACAACCCAGGGTGTACAAAATGTATCCATTCGTCTCTCAATGAAAGAGAGGAATCTGTACATCAGACGCTATGGCTGGCTGTTTGCAAATATCTATCAGAAACCGTACATTACATGGAGGTTAAAGACAGATACACACTGAAAACAGGCCGCAGCTTAGCATCTATAGACCACAGTCAACTACATCTCTGATATCCAATTATTGATTATCACTTCAACCGTGTCAAAAATATTGTCCAACATGACTTTAAAGACTTAGCAAATGCTCTTTATCTCCCACTTCAGGTTTCCTTGGCCCACTGCTGTCATCAAATTCAAGCATTTAACAGTCAATTCACATTTCTCACAATAGTAAACTAACTGAAAACGTATTCTGTTTTCTCTGTACAATACATTGTGTCCCTAGAAATATAAAGATTTCAAAGCTTTAGGCTCTGGCCCCCCATCAAACTACAAAGAGAGTCATCACCAGAGGGACAGGAGAAGGCAATAAAGAGGAGAAACTGTACCACACCTCATCAATGCTTTCTATCCTGTCTATGTCTACTTTCCTCTCTCATGGTAGTTACTTTAGCAGCAGCAAAACAAGTAGCTGTAATACTAGTGATTAAAGCGAACCCCCCNCCCCCCCAAAAAAAAGTCAAGAAGTATGTAATCATAAGAAATGTACAAAACAATTTACAAAAACAAAGCAAATAATTGGTAACAACATTTCAAAAAACCACTTAGGAAACTCTAGAATTTTACATACATGTGTACCCATGACCAACAGATGGTGTTACGCCATGATGACGTGGCTGAGGTGACAACTACTGATGGATTAAAGCCATAAAACCAGTCTCTTCTACAAGCAGGTGCCCTGGGGGGACGTCCTGGATGATAAGGTGTCCTGCACGTAGGAGGCTGAAAACACATTCTGACTGACAGGTGGATGGGTCATGTAGTCATTCAGAGCCGGTTCAACGCTGAACAATGTAGTCTCTTCAGTGGGAAACCCTCCATGGACCTGTCAGTAAAGAGAAGATGAAAAAGCCCAGAGATGTTAACAAAACTGAACTGAAATATTAACAGGCTCTGTACATCTGATCCCATCCCATCCAGTAATAGAGAAATGAATATTATCAGTGTAGCTGCTCTCTCAGTTGTAAAACAAGATGGCTTCCTGGTTACCTCTGTGCTCAGAAGAGGATAGGCTTCCCAGCAGTTTTCTCCTGCACGTAGGAGGTGAACCGTTTGAGGAACTTGGGATACTCTCTCTTGGCCACGGCTCTGAGGACTGACGCTGGAGCCCAGCCGCCTGGGTTTACTGCAGCCACAGAGAGGGAAATTATCAGGAAGCTATTAGTCATAATTAGTCATAAATCCTCAGTGTACAGATGTTGTATAGACAGAGGTCTATGGAGCCCTCTAGTGGTGAGGACAATGCACATTTTATTGTTTCAAATAAACTCCCATGACCTGCCTGGCTCCTCTAACAATAAACCGGCTCAGGATTCCTTCTGCAGCGCTGCTTTATGTCACAATAAACCCGTCTACAGGAAGTCAGGGGAGGGGGAGATGCTGTGCATGTCTGGGCTGACATTTCAAAGACACAAGCATGCAGACTGTCTCCCTTCAGTGCTCGCTACCAGCTAAACAAAGACCAATCAGCAGAAGGTGCAGCACAAACAATAGCAACGCAGTAACCCAATGTGTGGCACTCATAATAATAAAAATAATTATAAAAAAAAAAAAAAACAACAACAAAAGAAAAGAGAAGCCAGCTGGGGGTAGTTTTCTGACAGCATTATAGTTTTCACAGCTACAATGGATAAATATCTGCTTGTTTTCTTTCAGGCCCCTTTGTGACCTGCAGCTATTTCTCGCTGGTTAAAACAGCTGCTCACATTTCACTAAGTCAACAAAACACCCACCCAGCTACATTCATGCGGGCTGACTCGAGTAAACATTGAAGCCGTATTTATTTAGGCTGATGGGACCTCAGGCTATCACTCACAAACACAATCTATCTTTACCATTTAACAGATGCATTAGCCAGGATATCAGATAGATAACTTGGTGACTTTAATTACAGACTGTCTGTTGGCAACAAATAACAATATGACCCGAACTGATGAAGGGTTAGGCAGCTTAACACTTCCCTCTGGCATTTACAGTAGGTTGGGTGTTGACAGATCGATGATGATAGAGAGGCGTTGTTCTGTTGGCTGTTGATCTTGCCAGAGGCATATGCACTGAGATCAAATCCTTATTAGGCTGGAGAGGCACTCACCATTGGCAACGTAGGTGATCTTACAAAGGATGTTGTCTCTGCTGATCTCTTTATCTCCCTCTGGTGGGCTGACCAGCGTTTGACAGATCATAGCAACGTTGATTTTGGCACGAACACACCTGTTTGTGGGCTGAAGGCAAAACAAAAATGTAAGTAAAATCAATGTCAAAGCTGGCACCGATCTCACTGAAGCTAAACTGAAAGAGTGACTGGTGTTAAGAAGTGTGAAACTATTCTTTTTATAAATTTACCCATGAAAAGAGCCACAAAACAAAGTATTGTTTGACTAAGGGATGTTTGTAATTACATGCTGATGTAATCAAATTTATTTCAAATCTAATCACAGTGCTTGGATGCCTGATCATTCCACTGCATGATATTAACAGGTGTACTGTTATAATCTTACAAGGGCATTGTCGTGGTCCACAGAGAAGTTGCAGACCAGCCATGTGTCAGGGTCATTTTCATTTGTTGCCAATATCTTCCTGATGGCTGATAGATAGAGCACGTCTCTCTGAGAGGCTGGCCACACTCTCTGAAACACAACCAAAGGCATTTAGTTAGCAATCAAAAAGGCTGCAGAATAAAACTGATAAAAAGTGCAACATGTTCCAGAAACATCTAAACCGCCAAGTAGTCAATTTACCTTGTGCGTTTGGTAAACAATGACGGCATTGTCGGAGAGTGTTTCCACAACGTTGAAATTTTCAATGGTGGCTGAGGGATGAAGAGTTCAGTCAGTTCATGATATCTAACACAGGCACAGTCACACAGTGTTCATGTTATGGTGAGTTCTGAAACAGTGAACTTACTCTCCCAGTCCATTCGGACAGCTGTGTCCCAGAAGTAGTGGCAGACCTCATGTCCTGTGACCCCCTTCACAGAATGTGTAGCTTTGAGGGGGTCGAGCACAATACCGTTCTCCTCTACTTCTCTCCTATACACCTGTTACACAAAGGGCAGAGCGTGACACGGTTTAGTTCAATTTATTTATTTGCACATACATGTATTGAAAAGACAGGAAAAAAGAAAATTAAGGAGAGGTTAGAAGCCAAAAGTGGCTTCTGAAGATATCGCTCATATTAAATAACAACAATCATACAGAAAAAGAAAAAGATAAAATCAAAGATTGCATAATTGAACAAGAGTTCTAGACCAAGAAGTAATACGAAATTGTGAGAGAACTAAACACATTGGAAGTAATATCATTACTATAAACATATTTGCAGCCTGACTACAAGTCATATCTTGAAGGATCCTCTTAAAGGAATCCTTCACCCAAAAAAACATGACCATTTGCAATCATGTGTAGGTCAATCACTCACCGCATTACCTTGAAGTTATGAAGAAAACTTTGCTATTCCCGCATGCCTCCACAAGTGAACGGAGAATCCAAAAACGGCAAACATACTTAATCAACTGAAGTCAAAGCATCGGACAGCAAAACTATATCAAAACAGCCATTTCCAAACTCTCACACAACTCATGCAGTATAATCCAAATCTCATTTATCCAGCCGTATGCTCAGTACTACCCAAACACATGCATTTTCACGGTCGAGTAGCGTCCTGAGGCATAATGATGGCATGCTACTTGTGGGTGGAAGTGTTTTATATTATAAGATTTATCGCAAAAATGCATGTGTTTAGGAAGCACTGAACGTAGGACTGATAAATGAGACTTAGATTACACTGCATGAGTTGTTGGAGGGTTTGTAAACTAATGTTTTGATATAGTTTAGCTATTGTTAAACGCGGTTCACCTTTACTTTTCATCAAGAATGCAAGAAAAAAAAATCATCTTCTTCAAATTTAACGTAACATGGGGTGAGTAATTAAAATACAAATGGTCATTTTGTGGGTGAAGTATTCCTTTAACTCTACCACTGACTAATAAATAATAATAAATAAATAAATCTTGAGCTGATTTTTCAGTTTGAAAACTAAAGACAGTGTAATTATTATTTTCATAGTGTTACTAACAATAATAAAAATGAGAATAAGAATGAATAAAGTACTGATTATATTGATTATATATTTTATAAATTCATTTTTTGTCTGGCAAGAATATCTTTACTTTAAATATTTCACTTCCTCTCCACTAGCTGATAAATTCATTATCACCACTTTCACTTCCAACCACAGCACCTTGGAAAAAGTGAACAAGACTTAAATATTCAGAGCTAGGAATCGAGGGAAATGATTCATATGCAGCTTCTCTCCTCTGTACTCACCTTCATCTCTCCTTCTTCTATTACAAGCTGCCAGTTGGCATCTCCACCCACATCCTGAAGAGAGTAAGTCATATGATTCTGCACCATCTCCTCCACCTAAGAGACCGACAGGTATCGATTGAATTCACATGTCAGAGAGAGTTTTTCCACTGTTCTTTACCTGCCTATTTGAGGACATGCTTTGAAACAGGACACAGTTGGGGGAGAAGAGAAAGAAACTGTATTAGGGATGCTATGCTCAAGTTTAATGATTTATAGTCTTGAGCAATCAGCACCTCAAGCACCCGTGCTGGTATTTTATTTCAGAGGTTCTGATAATATCACAGGAAGCAAACATTAAAAACTATTTCTCTTTAAGAATCTTAAGAATTCCTTAAGCAAATACATTAGCCACTGAGCTGGAACCAAATATGTATATAACACTTGATCCTGCTTGGGGGTGTTATTCAACAACCGAACAATGCATCAACAACACAGTGCATAGCCAGTCTGGAGTCGTGCCTGCTCATGCTGTGGGGGACAGAGTGATGTGAGCAAAGGAGGCGGCGGAAATGAAGAGCTTTAACTTGAATCCAGTCATGCAGCAATGGACTGACATTTTTCTTATCAGTGGTATGATGACAACTGTCAGAAAACTTTCAGTCACTCCAGCAATTTCAATTTTGTCCAGTCAGGTTTTCTTTGTTCTAGTGCATTACATAATATCATAAAGACTTTAAAAACCCACTGTAACATGCTGCCCAAAGCAAAAGAAACGTTTGTGAAATCCTGGAGAGAGTGGTTAGAAGACATTCTCATGCTCTTTGCTCATGCTCGCTCTGACTGCGGTGGAAAGCAGCAGGTGTTTGCATCCCCCTGCAGATACAGGGGCTCGCTGCTGACCAAATACAGTACCTGAGCGCTGAATCTGTGAATGTCGTCTGAGGCACTGACTAGCTCAACGGAGGACAGGGAAGAAGAATGGCTATGGGGCTATACAGCAGAGGAGGAAGATCGAAACAGAAAAGAATAAGGAACAAAACAGAGAGAGGCAGCCAGCAGCAGTCCAGAGGCCGCAACTACAACCTGCCCAAGTAGCATTTCATATGAAGATGTTACACAAGCTTTGAATTACTGCAATATGCACAAACTGAATTGCTGTGTGAACAGATAAAGTTGAAGTATGGACACATTGTAAGAAGCACATAAGCTGCAGTTGCAGAGTTTATAGACATGACACATTGGTGGTAAGCTGACCAAGCTTCAGAAAGCAATGAGATATTGCAAAAAGCAGCAACCGGTAGCATTTAAGTCTAGATGAAATGAAAAGCGCCCTTTAAACCCTTGTAGATTACATCCTGAGTCATACTGTGCCCTTGTTTAACACCAGAGTGCTTCAGGGATGACGTTTTTCTCATTAGGACTCATTCCTGGGGCACTCTAGATGCTTATATCAAAATCCAATCATGCTTTCTTCCTGTTAAACTAAATATGACATGTGCTTACTTAAGTTTGTACCAGCCAGTTTCATCCAATAATATCATGACATCCACCCACCAACCGACCTGCAACTCTTAGCCACAAACTTAGCAAGCTACCAACAGCATGAATCATCACTGTGTCTTTGGGTGTTAGTCAACTCAGACCTTGCTCCGTTTCACCTGAATACAGTGGTTACAGGTTGAGCTGTGCTCATACCAATATCAGTATCAGAAAAGCCTCCGATACTGTTACAAATGCTGGATAAGGTATCAGGAGTGCGGAGATCTGATACTACCTAATCTATGAATAAACGTTAAGGTAGATTCACACCAGGATAAAACGTTAGTTAATCAATTCTTCTCTGCTGCTCTAAAACAGTAGCTCACACAAAGAGTTGTGCTGAGTAGCAACTGACAATTTCTGTTCTAGAGCTGAAAAGAAGAATTTATTTCCATGAATTAGTGTAATGTTAGCCGTAAGCATACAACAATGATAGCAATCATTTCACATCAATACAAGGTTAGTACTATACAGCTTTGTAATTTTTTTAACGCAATTGTATCAACTCAGTACTCAGTATTGGCCAATACGCAAGTTCAAGTATCGTAATTGGTATCGGAACATCTCTAGTTATAAGCTCGCTGGCTTAAGTCTATCTATTTTAGGGAAAGTGTTGTCTGTGACAGCTCTGGATTATGTGCAAGGCATTTTACAGTGGACTACTTCAGCTAAAACATAAAGCATACGATGAGCTTTGGCGGGTCTTCCTCTACTAATGAATGGAGACCAGCATCCAACTTTAAACCACTGTATTTTCAGCTTTTCAACGATCAAATCAAATTCTGCCCAATGTTATATCCTGCCCATAAACTTGTATGTCCAGCCTGCCTATGTCATGTTACTCGAAATACATCACGATTCTGAAGCAACATACTCTAGAAATGCTGTATACATTTAAGAGAAAATAATAAATGTGTTAAGCACCTTGGCGGCAAACCGGTATGTGCCGATGGTGGAGTAGACGTCTCCTGGAGGAACCGGAGTTAATCGAGGTATCCTGACCTTCTCTGACTGGCACTGAGGAACAGAGAGTTAGAGTTTAGTTAGAGAGAGAAGATGAAGAAGATACCACAGAGACAGGCAGCATCCCTGAGCGTAATGTTAAAACTGTGTTTTACAATGATCTTCATCACACCTGCTCTTCTATCTTGTCCTGTCTGTCCAGCGCAGCTTCCACCGCATCGAAGAACTCGTCCTCATTGATCAGACTGTTGGGCCCCTCCTGTGAAGAGCAAATGTCAGCAATATAAGAATACTGCGAGAACAGCCCCGACAAAGAAGCAGAATGATAAAAATGCACATGCTGGGAGACATGGGACTGCTTTGGCTTGCGCTGCTGTTTCTAATTAATTCATTTTCATCTTGCCTCGTAGTCTGGGCCTCCGTAGTGTGACTTTTTCTTCAGTTCATTCACAGCTGACTTGTAGGCATCTTCTACCCTCCTCCTCTTCTCCAGCTCCTAAACACGAAGAGAGAGAGAAACGAGAGCTGTTGGTGCAGTTGTATTAAACAATAAATAACCATGACAGCATGTAACGCCCATGAAAACATCTGTGCTGTGTTTAAAATAGATCTGCTGATCCTCCTCATTTAGACAACGAACAACAGGAATTCAGCGTTACAGAGCAGGAAAACATCACTGCCTCAGTCACAATGCTCCTTTGATCAGGCTACAGTAAAGAGTTGCAAGAAAGGGGAAGAAAAGAGAGGTCTGCATGTCACAAACAACTGGGCAAACCCACCACATCATTCAGCTGTGTGCGCTCTCAAACAGGTTTTACCTAATGTCTCGATCCCTGCCAGAGGCTAGAAACAACAGGCTACAGCAACACAGTGAAGAACTACAGAGAGTGGATTATCTACTGTTTTCACCATTTATTACTTAAAGGCTATGAAACTCTAGAAAGACAGCAAATTAATTATAAAACAATAACATTTACTATGTAGACTGAAACAGCTCAACTCTGCATGAGAAACTTGTCACAGTCCAGACACAGTTTATCCACACAGCAATAAGAAGAAGCTAAAACAATAGTGTTTTCTCAAAAATACTTAACAGGAGAAAAGCCAGACAGAGCAAGACTATGAAACCAAACAAAGTGTACACAGGAAGGTGTGGACGTATAACACTTGGCACAAAATAAACAGAGGGTGATCCTGTTGTCAGCTGCCTGTAGCCAACATACCGACAGACAGATAGAAACTTACTTTAAAGAGGAGACTACATGTCTGTAGAGGTATCCATCTCTGTGTCTGGTATTTGAGCTGCTCTGTCCTCCTTTGTAGCGAAGGCTTCCACAAACTGCACCATGAAGTCTTAGCAGTCATTTTCTAATTCACTCTCTGTACGAGTCTGAGCGGGTGTGTCGTGTTCCTTTAGGAGCGTGTGTTCTGAACTACTTCTATTTCCCTACTCCACATCAGCAGCTAAACTTCACACACACACACACACACACACACATAACCAAACACTGATAGGACTGAGGTAGTTTCACTCGAGCAGGCTAACTAACTGAAAGCACTTCCCGGCTTTTCAATGTTTTAGGGTTGGGCAGCATGCCTTTACACACAGGAAAAAAAAAAAACTGGTTTGACAACATTGGCCGCGTTGATCAGGATGTAAGCATGAAGAGCTCTAGAGCGCACCTTTAAAGACACAGGCCGGCCTCTAGTCAAAGCAGAATCAATGAATGGAAGAGTGTTATGGGAACTCCAAACACATGAAAAAATAGCTCAAATAACAAAAGTGTTTAAGCTCATTATGGGCAACAGGTGCATTTGTGCTGCTAGTAAGCATGTTGATTATTTTGAATCACTGAGCTTTAGCCATTAAGGAAGTATGGGAAGACGGTCCTCTCATAAAACCATGCTACAGTACAAGGGCGCAAATACTTTTGAAATTAGTGCTGCATGACCAGAGCAAACAAAAAAGGGCTGTGGCACACCTTGTGTTCAATAGGGAGAAAACCTACAACTATCAGAATGCACTGCACCAGAAAAATAAACGCCTGCTGGTGGGTGCAATCTTGTCTGTTTTTCCCCAGGACACAATATGGCAGTTGGCTGGTAACAAACGATCTCGAATTTCAGTTAAAAGGTAAGCTGATATTTGTTTCTGAAAACATTTTTGACAAGGAACAGGCATCGCATTAACAGAATCTTGGTTCATATTTGATCAGCACTGCCTCATTTTACAACTTCATGTTACAAATCAGTTTAACTGCTCACTGCAGTTGGGCTACTTAATTCGGTGGCTGACACAAAAACCCTAAATGTGAATGGCTCTATCTATCTATCTATCTATCTATCTAGCTATCTAGCTACTGTAGAAACACTGCGGTGAAACATGGTGATCTCCAGAAACAATGAAGTGCTCCCTACGTAGATACAGTTCTTATTTTCAGGTCATTGTACACTTAAGAAAACATATTTATATAATCTTATATTCCATTTCTACTAATATAGCCACCTAAATCCTACACACTGGACCTTTAAACACATACCCATATCAGATATTCTATAACCAGGGGAGAGTTTGGGATAAGGACTAATAAAAGCAGATGTGAACTACATCCTAAGGGATCGAAGCTTGTTTAACCTGTTCATTCACACACTATTTATTTAATACAGCTACTGTACTTAACATGCAAATCAGTATCAGATTTAACTCCTCAATCACCTTCTAGCATTTAAAAAAATAATGGTGTGCATTTTTCTAAGTAACGTTACCATCAAAATTAATATGTAAGATCAGCTCCTTAAAGGCAATGAAAGGTAGCAATTAGCTCCTTAGTCTGCGACACCTCCATGCAGCAGTGGCTGCTAACACTCAGGAAACTGCCTATTATTCATATGACATTTAGCACACTGTGAGTGACATTTATTTTAATCAATGTGTGCAGAGTGCACGACTGTACCTTGTCAAGTCTCTTTTGCCAGCTGTCCTCTCGTTTGACCATCAGTTCGATGCAGTGGGACAAGGTGGAGAGGATTCCTGCTGTAGTGGCCTTGAAGGTGATGGCCTCCCCTTTGAAGTCTATTCCATTCATACCTTTGGGACTGGCGGGTGGGAACACTGGCACGGACAGAAACAAAGAAACAACTGAGTGTGATAGCTGCTTTGTTACTTGCTAAGAAAAAGATTTTCTGGCTTTTCACAATAAAGCGAATCAGTCATTGAAAGCAATGAACATTCTGTATCTGCAGCTAAACTCACATTTCTCTTTGCTCCCATTGTTGTTGTGATTACATTCACCATCAGGCCTTGTAGTGGTGGGAAAGTCATCTTCGTCCTCCTCTACTACTGGTAAGAAAGAAACAGCAACATTTTAAAACCCATACAACAGGTATTTTTGCTCCTCCAGGGTTGCTACTTTTTCATAATTCTTCAGTAGTTAAAGATGTAACACTAAATTTCTGGAAAAAGCGCATAATTCAGATGAAACTACATGTTTGTTTAACATTCATGAGAGCAAGTTCAGTATGAAAGTGATTTTGAAGAGTGCAGAAAGGTTCTGACTCAGAGATTAAACAACCCACAAAGTGCCCTGTAAGTGGATATTGATTTTTGTTTCCTTTCTTAATGACTCTTACCAAATACTCTCCTCCAACTCTCTGACTGCTTAGACCAAATACAGCCCCATCTATAAATTCTTCCATTGGCCAGTAAGCATCAAAACTAGTTCCTTTTGCTGTGTTCACACTGCTCTTTATATCAGTTTTTGGGGGGGTAAACTGGACCAATTAAAACTAATTAAAAAGCATTTTAAACACATAATACAAGCTCCATAATAGTGTTGTGTAATAGTGTTGTTTGTGCCACAGGTTACCTCTGTCTCTGTGAAATTCATCTTTGGAGACAACGTCAGCACAGGAGTCAAAGTATTTCTGCAGGGTGTCCACTTGTCTGCACAGTATGTCCCGGAAGGTTTCCATTTCTGCTAGTTTCTCACGCAACCTGTGCCCCTTCTGAGCAGAAAGAAACAGAAGTAAAGAGATGCAATCAAGAGCTGTCAGGAGACAGTAAGTTCTGTTTTTGTTTTAACCACACAGCCATCATTAATAATAAATACAAAATCCTTGACATTTTAACAACTGATAAAAGTACAGTAAGTACTACAACAGATCTTGATCTTCAGTTGGTATTTTCAGAAAGTGCTTTAGTGCCTTTGGCCAAACTTTATATATGTATTAAAGGAAATACTGTGAGACTGAGTGTACATCCACGCCAGTGAAAATATGTTTTCATTTTAAAACACATAACTTTTCCTATGTTTATGCCGAGCATCCACACTAATCCGGCCTATTCCAACCCCTAAAAACTGAGACTCCAAGCTTTTGCATTTTAGGCTCGATGCCTGGAAACAGAGATTTCTGAAAATGAGGACGCAGACACTCACATTCGCTTCCTGATTGGGTCTTTATCATATTTACTTTGCAATAACTCCCAATCTAAGTTTTCCACTGCATATACAGTTTCTCCTTGCTGTCAGTCCAAGCAAAGAAATCTCTGGTGTTACTTTTTACTATTGCTGGCCATCCTCTGCAGTATTTTCTGCAACTAAAAAAAAATAAAACACAGAGGACACAATCTACTTCCTGTTCACAACAGCATGTGCATGCCCAGTCTACGTGAATTGTTATGTGATATGCCTTTTTCAGGCCTGTTAGCATTATGGATGGGCATGATTTGGACATCACAGAGTAATCCACACAACCTCCCACATGTGAACATGACCTTTTCTATATTTTTTTTTTTACTATTGTTTTACTATTGGGTAGAATGGGTAACATCTTATTTCAACGTAGAGCTGTGTGCAATGTATTGCTTCTCTCAGAGAAGACAGCAACAGTGCCTCCCTGCTCCACTGTTGCTCTCTCTTTGTTTATTATGAGACTAGCTACTGCTGCAGGAGTGTGAACTACGCACTGGGGAACAATCGGTGAGGGTCAATCCCAACACAAAGTGATGGGGCTAACTGTTAGCATAACACTGCTTACGTTACCTAACAGTTATAAACAGGTTTAATGACAGAGTCAAGCTGTTTCAGTTTCTGTATTAGTTTGTTGGGACCAATTAATGGCTCAGTGTCAGATGTTAGCCGTCGCTGCTGTGTTAGCTCGCGCCAGGGGCAGACATTAAACTGAACGGGAGGAGATGGTCCTTCAGTGCTGTGTCTAACCTATGCAACGTCAGTGACTGAAAATGTGCTTTTTTTCTTGTGTTAACTTTGAATTCATGGCTTAACAGACTAATTGAAGCCTGGTTGTTTAATAAATGAATTTCAACCACACATCTTTTTTGTTGTTGGCCAATTTACATTGCTATTGTTACTTTAGATTTTTTTCAGGAATACTCTAATAATTTTATGTGAGTACCATATGTGAGTAGATCTATCTATCTATCTCTATATATCTATAGATAGATAGATAGATAGATCTATTCCATTTTATATCACTGTTTTAAAATGAAAACATATTAGTGTGGATGTAGCCTGAAAATTTGAGATGATCTAAAACACTAAACATCTTCAAACTCTCTCGTGATCATGTTTTTACCTTGAAAGAGGATGTGGACGTGGCGGACAAGGCACTGGCTGCTGAGGTGAGAGACAACATGGAACCATGACGCCTGAGACTGGTTTCTGAACCATAGCCAGACTCGGCCTGAAATCCAGAGGGAGGGATAGACGGCGGAAAGAGACAAAATGAGGGGAAGATGAAAAGAAAGTAAAGAAAGGAGAAGGAAAACAGAAGGAACAAAAGGTCAGTGTGTGCACAATACACATTAAACAATCTGCAATATAATAGGAAAGTCTGCAGCTCATAAAAAAACAAGACAGAGAGAGAGGGGGAGATCATTTCTAGTAGTCAGCAGCACTGAGTAATGCTGAGCTCGACCCGAGCACGGCCTACACCTACACAGACAAACAGTCCGCTGAAGGGACTGGAACTGACAAAAAGACACATGCATCAACAGAGCCAGCAGACCTGATACTAGGTGGTTGAGGAACAGTGGCAACAAATCACTCTGTATCCCAAAATACTGTTGTACTGATTAGGAAATACAGAGTACTGTTTCACATGGCCTTATGAAACAGATCTACTGTATGACCTGGCATTAGTGAGGGAGGGAGTGGCTGTGACTGCATTTGTTCCATTAAATAGCCAACTTATGACTGGGCGATGCCTGGGACTGTCAACTCAGCAAAGTGACAGGATTTTATTATACGTAGCGTATGTGCATGCACACCCAGCCAACCCCACCACAGCAAAATATTCTTATTTGTCCCACATGCAGCTGTTAACTGTTATCACTACATTCTATCTATCTATCTATCTATCTATAGATATATAGAGATAGATAGATAGATAGAAAATTCACAGCCCAGTGTTAGAGTCCTGTAAATTCATACTCAACCAGTAGTAGAAACAGTAATTTGTGGTGTGTTTTATGAGTCTAAATTTATTTGCCGAGGTTTAGTCATGAGTTTACCTTTCCTCCTGGTTGTCAAATTAAAAAGGCACTGTAAGCTATTTGTGTTTACTAAATGGCATGCAGAGGTCTTGAGAACAGCGAGCAAACTGAGGAGGAAGTCAGGTGGCATACTTGATTAAGAGAGAAAAACATACATTCCTCTGCAAGAGCATCTCACAACACCTAACAGTGTGACGGACTGAGAGATTTGACATTGAATACTGGTGAAAAGATAGTGAGCTGAGTGGTTAACTGTTTAACACCAGGTCTAAAGAATATAAAGTCTGGATTTTTGCTGTTAAAGGTATGTTTACATTCATTCAATCCCATGATTGCTGTAAATTTAATTTTAAAGCGATACATTTAAGCTTTTACTTAGTTAAAAGTAATCAGATAATGTATGAAATACAATCACATTTTTAAAACATCTAATTCATACTCAACACACAAATACACCATGAACAATATACCATGAGCATTGTACAATTCAATGATATTCAATAATACAACAATAAGGTCCAGCCCTAAAAATGACCTGAACCAGTCTCACAAATAATTGAGCATTACAGAATTCACAATTCATACGTTTGCAACCCTGATTCCAAAAGATGTGAGACACTTAACTGTGTCGTGCATTATAAAGTGCAAAATCTGACAATGGAAACCCAGGACTGTTGAGCAACTGAGATCGTATTTCAAGCAAGAATGAGAAAAAATTTTACTTTCAAAGCTTCAACAATTCGTGTCGTCTGTTCCCAAACACTCAGTGTTGTTAGCAGAAAAGGTGAGGTATCACAGTGTCAAACATGCCCCAGCTTTTTTGTAACATGTTGCAGGCATTAGGTTCAGTGTGCATTTACAAAAAACAATAACGTTTATCAGTCTGAAAATGAAATATCTCGCCTTTGTGCTGTATTCAATTGAATATAGGTCAAAACACATTTGCAAATCATTACATTTTGGTTTAAATTACGTTTTAAAGAGTGTCCCAACTTTTTTGGAATCAGAATGTAGACATTTGCCATACACTTTAAGTCTTGAGTCAAAGTGTTCAGCTGTCAATTTTAAAAACAACATGCTGCTTTGGGTCAGGCTGGATTTTTTTTTTAAATAATACATTTTCCATTTTCCAGCCTCAAACAGTAAAGCAACTCTGAGTGGCAGAGCTGTACGCCAGGTGTGCAACTATTTTTTTAATTTGAGATGTAAGTCAAGTGATTGCAAAGTGCCTCAGCTTCACCCCCGATGGCTCAATAAATATTAATGCTTTAATGCCAACAGTCACTACATTTTTGACCAAATACCTTGTTATTGTTATTGTGAAAATATTGTGGGGTTGACTTGGCACTTTTGCATTATACAGTTTTCCACAGAATTAGAATCTATGTGTGACGGTAGTTTTTTTCCTGCCTATGTGTCCTTGTATATCAGTCTGTGTCCACTCTCTCAATTCAGAGGTTTTTGCAGGTCAATGAATGTAGCACTAGCAAAGTTTCTGAGCGATCAGGCCGATGGATAAGAGAAAAAGCTGGTCGTGAGTGAAAGCAAACTTGAGTTTCACTTGCACTGAGTACCAGTGCACTCCGAGATCAGGAGCAATGAATAACTGGAATGGTTGATATATTCTAACAGCGCACCTAATGAATGGTCCAGCTCCAAAAATAGAAAATCAAAATGTGGCACCACGTGTTTTAATCGTGGTGGGCCATCACAAATAAATAAATGTGTAGGAAACCCTGAACTATTTACACAATGAGAATTTTGATTAATACTCCTCAGTAATGTGGCTATAATGATTAAGCAGGCAAAGATAAATGACAGAACAGCTACAACAGTCTGTTAATTTGGGAAAATTACATCACTTTACTATGATGCAGCCTTTAAAACAAGGAAAAAACAACACTAAGCATACCATAATATCCAAAATCTAAGATGATATCTAGTCTCATATCACAATATCAATATAATATCAACATATTGCCCAACCCTAATTTAAACCATATCATCCTGAGTGTAATTATTAGCTATGTTTCCTGCTACATCATATAAAGCCCTTCACAAAAATGCAGCCTACGTTTCAATAGTTGTGAATGACAGTTGGTTAGTTGCCTGGCTAAATAAATATTTGACAAGAAGTGTAACGGACTAAAAGTTGGTCTTACATCACTATCACGCAAGGATCTGATTTGCTATAGGTTATCTCTTCAGACTGAGATGTTGCACTGGTTACTAAAATCATTATTAATGTATTGAGCAGGAGGCAAAGCAATGCACTGATGAAACATGAGGACCAATCTGTGCCTGCCATCTTTATGCACCTGCTCAGCTGCATGACACAGCCATGCAAATTAAACACCCACTCATACACAACACATGAAATGGCATCTTGTACCCACGGCTTTGTGATGGTAATGAGATGAGTGTACAGTAAGTGACCATGGCAACCACTGAGTGCTTCTGCACATCTGAGCATAATGCTGTTTGGGTAAAATACCTGTCATTAAAAATGTTGATAGTCCAGGACATAGCCATGCAGCATAAGCTTAATTTCTGAATAAATAATTAAAAAAAAATAGTGATTTCTTACAATGCAGTTCAGTTCTCCAGCCCATCAGTGCAACTAATGTAAAAAAAAAACTACATGCATGCAAATAGAAAATAGTCATTAATGCAATGCATGGAGGAAGGCAAAGATGGGCCATGTTTTTCATTCATATCACAACACTGGCATACTTATTGAAGACTTCAGTGATGAGTGATAGTAAGCAAGCAGCATGCCAACATGCTATAAGCCCACCATTCGGCCATTCCAACACCCAAGGCAGAGCAGGACACTGCTGCAGTCCCGTCGGTTTGCTGGCCCCAACATGGCCCAGATGCTCCCTCAACACTCCCACTGCTCTGACAATTCAGGCGCTTAAATCCAGTATTCCCGTTTCTCTGGACACACCTCACTGAGGAACAAAAGGGAAGAGGAGGAGGCGATGAAGAAAAGCCATACGGGCTCAGCTTAGCTCATCAAGTAAAAGAAAGCAGCTATAAAAGAGGGAAAGGGGAGAAGAGGAAAAAAGTCATTTTCTCCGTAGCAGTCAGAGGAGTGGCAGACACTAGCTGCTCCGTGAAGCAGAAGAGACAGGCTGAGTCAATGAGGACGAGTCTTGAAATCCCACGGCAGAGCAGACAGATCTTCCGCAGGCACACGCATGGACTCAAAGGCACACACGAACATGCACTCTACTCTTGCTGCGTACATATATCAACAGACCACACACCCTGATATGTGAAACCTTTTCATCTTGACCATCTTTATGTCCAGCATCCATCACTGAGCAAGCAGGCATGACTGTGTGTGTTTGCATATAAGAGACAGAGTGAGAGAGGGGTAGAAATGAAGGGTGCATGCATATATGCATTAGAGAGAGAGACAGACAGAGAGAGAGACAGAGAGAGAGAGAGAGAGAGAGAGAGAGAGAGAGAGAGAGAGAGAGAGAGAGAGAGAGAGAGAGACGAGGGCTGTCCAGAGCTGTTTGTGTGATAAACCACTAAAGTACCAAATGGGTGGGTGAAAGAGGAGAGAGAGGTGACGGAGAAAGACAGAGACAGATAGAGAAAAGAGAGAGAAAGAGAGGGAGAGGCAGAGAGTGGGAAGCAAGGAACGACATTTATCTGGATCTTCTGCTTTACTTGTGGCTAATGAAGTGGTGGAAAAACTACAAATAAATACCAGGGGGACTTCCCCGGTCCCTCCACTATCACCCCTCTGAATCTGACCGAATGGAACAGTCTTCTCAGTATGATCAAGAGTTTTATGTGTCCCTCTTGATTTTTGTTGCTGTGAGAACAGGCGATTAAAAAAAAAATGCATTATTCATCAAGAGCTGCACTTAACTTCCCTACACTTAGCACAACTTTTTCCACCACCAACACAAATACACCCACACATAAAAACACAGATGAACTTGCACAAAACCAGTTTTTTTTGACGCACAATAAAAGCCTAATTTGGTAATACAGATATGCAAATGGTGGTGGTTCGGCTTTGCAAAGTGCCTGATATGAGGCATTTAAAAGATTTAATGACCACCTGTTTTACCCATATTAACTCAACTCAAATTTATTTTATTAAAGCACATTTAAAAACAACTCATGCTTACCAAAGTGCTGTGCAGAAGGAATAAAATGCTAAAAACACATACATGACAGGCAACATAACTGTCAGGTACATGGTTCACACATACATCAGAGAAAACCACATCAGCGGGACTCAAATGCTAATGAATAAAAGTACGTTTTGAGCCTGGACTCAAAAGAGTCAATGGTGGGGGCAGATCTGATTTGGAGGGGGATGGTGTTCTACAATTTGGGGGCAGACACAGCAAAGGCACGATCACCCCTGAATGGGGCCAGACCATAATTGAAGCACAATTACAGTTGTTAGGCACTGATATAAACCCAACTTGAGTGTATGACATGGCACAACAAATATATCCCTTAAAAAGTAATTATAAAAAGTTAATTATCAAACAATTTGTCATCTCTATAGACAGATTCTGTGGGTGACGAGACAAGATTTCGGTATCGGAAATGTTCTGGCTTCCATTTGTAGTCTGAGCGGCAATGATCAATCATGTTTGATCGGCAGACAAACAGTCCTTATGGAGACGTAGACTGAACTGGAAAAATGCAATTTCGGAATCCATCGGCTATGTCTGTTGACAAGTTAGCCTTATATTAGCTTTTTTTTTTTTTTTTTTTTTTTAAGTTTATCTATATGTAGATATCTGTTTATAGAAATTAACTAAAATGACTGACAAACGGAAGAGGAAGTCTTGACACAGATATCTGCTGGCTACATGGGTTCAGCCCAAAATATTGGCTCTCACCTCCAGAGGCTTATCGTTGTCAGACCGATTAGCTGATGGGTTTTGATATTGCACAGTTTGTATGTGAAGTAACCGTCTAGAGCCTCACTAGTAGATGCCAACATAAGCTAAATGTTTAAGCTTTAGATTCTAATACTAGGAACAAACACAGATTAGAATTTGAAAATACATTATTTTAAATAGCTTTATATGTATTTGCATGTGTATGTTTTACTGTACTATGTGTACTATGTCTTGTTTTTTTTTTAATTGTCATATTTTCAGCACTGGGAATGGAAGAAAGAGAAAGAGAAAATAAAATAGAATAAAAAAGAAGGAGACAAATAAAATGTCAATATTTGCAGAACAGGATGTGAGTATTTAAACAAAGTCGCAGAAAAGTCAGGCTATCCTGAGGTAACTATGCTGTGTTTCATGCCCTGTTGACACTAAGATTAAAACCAGTATGCCAAGTAGTAAACACTGAATGTAAGTCCCTCTTTGTCCAGTTGGGAGCAGTGCAGACACACTCACCTACTCTACAACAATGCTGCATGCAGCGCTGCATTAAGCTTACTGAGGTTATTGTAGGTCACAATCCAGACATAACCCTGAAATACTCTCACACTGTTGTTAATGGACCTGTGGCTGCTCACACTCAATTACCAACACCATGTAGCACTCACAAAACCATGCACAGCAACATTTTAGTGAAGACGGAGTCCTGAAGAGAATTCACAAGATAGTGATTATTTTTTTACAGGTGGTACATTTGTAGTGGTCTCTCTTAACTACAGTGTTTGTATATGGCAAACACAAGCAAGACAAATGATGTAATTACACAATACATATTATTTGAGCACACATTTTTACAGATGAATTTTCAAAACTCTTCCATAGCTTTTCTGTAATATTTTACCCCATTCCCATCACTTTCTTTAATTTAATATAGTCTGCCTGGACACCACTCTGACAAGCAATTTGAAGTTGGGTGCAATTCCAAATGTGGAGAGGTACGCACACTTAGGTTCTTCAACTACATATGAACATATTGCAAAATACTGAACCGTAACTCCTGTATCATGATATGCATCCTGTCGCCAGATTCTTGCCAATACAAAGCCCTTTTTGTCTCTTAATCCCTCACACACATTTCACCTGAAGATTACACAAAATAAAGTAAATCACCAAATGTCACAGTACGAACACACTGATTGCTATTACCCAAGCTCATGTACTGTCTGTAGAGTATTTTCAACTCTGTACAAGTAAATCAATAAAAACAAAATAAAACTAAGCAAATGGATAACTATTACAACTAGTCCATACCCACTGAGTGCACAGTTGCCCACGTACAGTTTCAAATGGTGTGTGTTTGGGATACAGGTAATAGGAAATTGCAGATTAAATAGTCAACTGAACCCATTAAGAAGAGCAAAGTATTCAGACAGAGTTTTTGTGAATTTGACAGTACGATTGATTTATTGGAAGTACAGTAGTACCATTGCCAATAGTGGGATAGTTAGTGCATTAGTACATTAGTAGTTGAGGTAGCACATTGAAAGGCAGATAGTTAAAGTCATTGCCTTATAGAAGCTCAGTTTTAGTAAGTTTTCCAACTTTTGCCAAGAGGGAACTTTAGATATTGGTCCCTAGATTATGTTCACCCAGTTTCATGCAGATCGCTCAAACTTCCTAGGAATAGATCGAACCGGAAGTTGTGCGTTCTTGTGGTAACTTTGTTCCTCATGAGGAGAGGCATCTCTGTGCAAAGTTTCATGTCTCTACGACATACGGGGCATGATATATGCCCATTCAAAGTTTGCAATTTCAATCAGTTGCTATAGCGCCCCCCTTTGGCCAATTGATGTAATATTGCTTCATTCTCATCCTCCCATGACCCTCTACCACTGTGCCAAATTTCACATGGACTGACTAAGTCAGTGAGGAGAAAAACATGGAACAGACACACCCACACACACACCCACAGACAGACAGAGTTTTCGTCATTATATAGTAAGATAAGATATTTAGAGGTTACTAATGCAAACTAAACCAGTATAACTAGCTGTATCAGCTCGTTTTGGATAGATCATGAGATTATACGTGGCACAGCACTTCTGTTGTGCCATGACGACATATCTAATGTGCTTAACACACTTTATGTAAGTCTATGTTAACTTGATGTCACTGCAGAGTGAGCAGCTGCCGGGTATCTGATAACAGGGGATACCCCCACCTCAACACCTCACTCCACAGATTCCTCACATTCCCAGGATGAAGGGCTGTGTGTGTGTGTGTGTGTGTGTGTGTGTGTGTATGTGTGTGTGTCAGAATCCCTGTCCTGCCACACCCAGCTCACTGAACAAAACAGATAACTCCCTGTCTGTTCTGAAAAACACTGACCCGAAATTGAACCTAAATACCTGAAAAAATGTGAATAATGCAGCAAAGCAATGTTTTCAGCAAGTTGGGTGAGCAAAAAAAAGAATCAAATATTCATTATAACCTAAGGAACTGACACAATATGGCGTGAGAAAATCTGTTCTGATTTTTGACAAACACCACACAAATTAAAAAATCCCTATGCACTCACCTTGTGCAGCTCTATCGACTCAATCCACTGGAGTCTGTGCTCGGGATCTTCAGCCCTGAGGTACCAAACACTGTCATTAACGCTGATGTCAAAACGACACTCGTCAAACTCATGAGGCTGCAAAGAGAGAGGACAGGGCTCATGAATAGTTATTAGGCAGAATGCATGTGACATGTGAGGAAATACTGTTACCACAACCAAGTATCTGTACTTAAATAAAAACAATACAAAAACTTCAGTGTAACATTTTCCCCTAGTTCAATAAAATCACTGCGGAATCAGCAAAAAAATCCCACTATAATGCTTCTACAGTCTGTTTATGACACTGGCTCACTAGCGATGACACATTCTGGACACACATGGATTCCATCAGTCACAGAAAAGCCTCTGCCACACAATAAACAGGAATTTTAATTAGAAACTGATGTCTTATGTCTACAGGCACAACCCTAAATGACCGCAGCAGAGCTGTGTAAAAAAAACAAAACAAAAAAAAACAGATACTCTTTCAGCATGCCTCCGCCTGAACCTGGGTCATCATAACTTTTCCTTCTAGTATTAGGCCAAATCTTTCAACTATTTCACTCCCCCGTTCTACAATGCACCCCACCCAGCTCCAACCACTGACCGCCTTAGGCACTCAAGCACGTGCACCAAAGAATTCCCATTTCCTCTGAGATTGGAATTTGACCACTGCACTCAGCTGAGGAGAGACCTGTTCAGCAAAACGTACCTTGTAAGAAATAGGGCTTGAGTCTCTTTCCCATTTTTATCCCGAGCAGAACCAAGACTACAGCTGCTCTGTCAGCTGACATAACCTCATGTTGTCCAAGTTTAATTAGATTTGCTGAATGACGCTCATGTGCTGGTTTACTCGCTGTCACAGACAAGAGCAACATACACTCCAACTCTGAGCAGGGACTGTCAGTCTGAATAACTTTATGCAACACTGTCTTTAGACTTTACACTAATATTACATTTCATGAGTTGCATATGAGGAACGCTGACAGGGGTGAGTGGTTTTCTCTGAACCGTAAATGCTTTCTATTACAGTCACAGACAACCTCAGAGCAAAAGTTTCCCCTCAGAGACAGGTGTAACATCACAAATGCCCTCCAGTTTCTAAATTTCACTACAAGGAGGGGTGCAATGGTAACCTCAAGTGCATCCTGCCATGATGCCATTACTGGTTAGAGTAATCCAGTCTATCTTACTGTGCTGTATCAGACACGGCCCATAAACCTCAGCTTTACAACCCAGTTTATGCCTCTTTCATTCTGCCTGGAACAATCTCCTTCCCCTTACGTAAGCACTACTGAATATCCTTGCTGCACTGGCTATTTTCTGTGTATAAGACTGTGGCATCGTCAGGGTTAGGAAAGAGGAGGTTAACAGCAATAGCAACGCTGATAACCGCCTCACAAGAGACATCGAAGACTCAAGCTTTTTTTCCTCTACTAAATGCCTTTCAACTCATGTGTCTGCAAATATATTTTGCTTCCGTATGAGGACAGTCTGGAGCGTCTGCAGCTACGCAGTGTGTAACAGACAGATTTTAGGCAAGAAGAAAAGCAGAGGCTTGTTCCTGCATTCCTGAGTCCTCATACCACAGTCTCCGTAGACTGAATTGGCTTTGGATATTTTACAAGAGGGGAGAGGCAGTAAGACGTGACTGTATGGGTCACGCTACTCAAATTATTAGTGAGCATGTGTAAATAAACACTCTTACGTAGTCTACTATAACATTATTACAACACACTCTTGTGGAGTTTTATTCAGTCTGCATAAACAGTAGAACATATTGCTTACTCAGAGGACCACTTTCACTAGAGGAAACTAACTCTAAACTTTTATGTTGTGGTTTTAATCCAGTTTAGAGTCATATAATTCTATTGCACAAATCACAGTAAAACCATTTGTTTGGCCTCTGTACTTGGTTGCGGTATGCTCAGAGAGATCAGTGAATATTTAACCAGGGTGTGGGATTTTGACTTATCTCACCAACAGGAGGACAATACAGGTCTTCGGTGTGAGATCGAAGCTTACATTTTAACAGTAGAGAACACACATTTTATGTAGCCAAAGCAATAAGTGCCAAGGAGGAAGAGGTATAAGAGTGTTCTCAAATGACTGCTGGAGCAAGAATGCCTTGGTCTGCTAACACACAGGTCTCTACCCTACCTGCGATCTTAATAACAGCCTCATTACTAGTTAATGTTTACCTTTCTATCTTTGTGGAACATAGATTGGAGGAATTAAAGTTCAACTCCATGCTAATGACAGGGAAAGACGGGATCAAAACACTGAGACCTGCTAGAGAGGTAACCCTACTCCAAGAGCACTGATGCAGAAAATGAGGCCTTTCATAGTCGCCCATCTTATGAGCCCTTATTCCCTGAAATGTTGGACAGGTGCTCAGCCCATTCTGCTTTCTATGTGTGCAACAAGACTCTTCATACCATAGTAAATACTTACTGTGATGACAGCCTTGCTGAGGCACAGAGACCCCCTGCAGCCGTACTCCCGTTCATCCTCCGACTTGTAGTAGCTCAAAGTATTGTTTTTCAACACGACCCATCGGTCCTGCCATCCGTGTATGTAATTTGTCCACTGTAAACACACAAGAAGTACAAGACAAACAGTTAGCTGAGCTATGCAGGCAACAGATCCTATGTGTGCAGGGATTATTTCAGCAGCTTATTAGTAATGCTAACCAGGCTTTTACAGATAAGTAGTGTGTGATTGAAACACCTAAAGAAGAAGTTGTGTCTGTGGAGTAAAACACTGTAACAGTCAAACTGGTTCACATGACATTACCTTGCTTAAAACGCCTCCGAGCTCCACAGGCTGCCCGGATTCTGGGTCCACATCCTCATCCGAGCCGGACGATGAACTCTTTTCGGACATTTAAATCCAAGCTTCACAGATAACTTGAACCTGATTTTATCCACAGGACCACGTCTCGCCCCGCTAGCTGCAGGATTAAGTTAGTTACAAGTTCAAACGCGTCACAGCCAAACCTGCTGACAGCTTCTTCAACTTAGCTTTAACATCAGGGAAATACCGTTAATTAGGCATTAACGGAGTGTATCACACATCAGCTGAAAAGCGTAATTTATCTTCAGTCGGTGGACAGACTCAACCCTAGCTAGCTTGTTTAGTTGGGAGCTATCCTGGAGGTGACAGCTGAGTCTCAACTTCTCGATTTTTGCGGGCTTTGTTTTGAAACTGACGTCGAATACCAATGAGACTAGCTAGTTAGCGTTAGCTGTCAAACGACGCAACTAGCTAATGCAAACTTAACTAGCAACTTGTGACTGCGCTTGTTAGCTATCTTAGCTGCGGTCAATGCGGTCCTCAAAGGAGTAATAGATAAGGCAGGCCTTCGTGTTAACGCTGTACCTCAACTTCAAGACAGGAATGACGAGAGACGGTCTGTGTCGCTGCTGTAGTTCCGCAGTTTAGTTAGCAATAGCGGAGGGCTGACTAGCTTGGCTTCATTCAGGTCTGGGGGAGGAGCTGCAGCCACGCTTTACTGTGTACTTTATACAGAGCGGAGTCAAGTTAGATAGACGCACAGTGACACCGGATGTTTGACACATCTACCTTCAAATTAAAATCAATAATTTTTTTTTAATAAAGGGGCTGCAGTGAAACAGAATCTGTGTCAAAATCAATATAACAATGAGGGAAATATCATTTTGATTGGTGATTGATCTCCCCGTAAATATATTTTAAAATGAAACGCGTAACTGCACCTGCGTATAACGGATATACTGTGTATGTAAAAGAAGAAAACGGAAATGCGAGTTCATTTCCGGTAACTTAACTTGGAATTTACTTGATAGTTTTTGTATTTGTTTTGGGAAATAAATTCATTCTTAATTTAATTTTATGATTCAGATTGACTATATTGAAGGGTGAAGTTTTAGGGTCTCTGTGATTTTTGTAGTGTTATCAGACTGAGTGGCTGCTGTAGATCCTGAAGATCCACATCCACGACATGCTCTAACTATGTCAAAGGTTACTTTATCATTATATCCTTTTAAAACTTCTTTATTTAGTCATTATAAAATGATACAAAAGCGTGGAAAAATACAATTACAGAAGTGTTACAAAGAAAAAAATGGATACATATATATATTATATATAATTTTAAAGAAGGGGAATTTTAAGGCATTGTAAAAGGCTTTCTGGCTTTATTCTGATTTCTTTTTAATTTTTTATTATCTTTTATATTGGGTTTCCTTTTAAACCATTTGCATTTATGTATGAAAACCTTACCAAATAAAATATATGAAGATTCAAAGTAAAGAAATGGCTTCTGAACAGCACACGTTTTACTTTGTTAAGTGCTCCTCTGTGGACCACTTTCTCTGAGTATTCCTTGTACTTCAGTCAAGAGAAAACGCCCCAGGCCAAGGTTCAAGAGGTCATCCGCTTATCAGGAAACATGACTTCAAGCCATAAAGTTTAAAACTTTCTCAAGTCCATCTTGAGGGGAAAATGATAATCATTATCATAATCTGCAGCTTTACAGGAAACCCAGATAGTACCTGAAACTATTTTTTCCACATAACCTTTGAAGCTGTAGTACAGCTGGACAGTTTCTTAATATTAACTCCTGTCATAAAAAAAACTATCTTTAGTTTTCGTTTCATATGTGTTTCATGTCGTCAAAAATATCTGATGCAGTAATTGAACATTTGCACATTGGTTCATATTATTTTGTGTCTTTTAAACAGGTAAAAGTTAATCTCGTAAAGCTCATCTTAGTGAATTTATTTAACCAATGTAAACAGTCTAAGTCCCGCCTTTTCCGGTTATGACGCATGTACGCGGAAGTGCCGCCAAAACCGTCATAGTTACTTTCAAAACAAGTACAGACCTGACCGGCTGATAAACAGCTGAGTGAATTTGAGTCCGTGTGCTTGTTCGTGTTCACAGTGAAAAGGTAAGCCTCTGAAACACTGCTGGTTATCTGATCTAAGTAGAAAAGGCGCACACATGATGGGACACATGTTTATGATATCTAATTTTTATCAACTAGAGTTGAGCTCGTTATAAATTGGACCATACTATTTCTCCACCAAGGATCCAGTCTTCAGGATGGAGAATGGGGCTGCATCCTCTACAGGAGGAGAGGGCTTCCTCTCCAGGATGGCCCTCAATGACAACAAGGCTGGTATGGAGGGTCTTGACAGGGACAAGATCAACAAGATCATCATGGAGTCATCCAAGGTAGACACCAACAATTCAAATAGACCTGCTCGGTTAGTCCGGCATGACACACCAGTAATCTTTCATTCATAAGAATCTCAACAAAGATATTTGTGAGAAAGGTCAGAGCTCTGTAGTGTGCTGTGGATAATATGAAATGGGTGGTCCAGTTTTACTGGCTCTGTCCAGCCTTGTGTGACATTGTGATGACATACAGTCCTAAAAATAGATGTGCTGTTGTAGCTTTTCATTATGTCCGCACTCCAGAATCTGTAACTCTTTATTGTCCTTGTCGTTTCCCCTGCAGGGATCCAGGTTTTATGAGAATGAGCTGAAGAGAGAGCAGCAGGTGAACCAGCGCATTGAGAAAATGATGCAACAAAAGGCACAGATCACAGAGCAACAGTTAAAGAAAGCACACGCTCAGGTAAGAGCAGTTGGAATGATCGGTTTCCTTTAGAGATCACTCAAAAATACATGCAGACAAGTTTGTTTTGCTAATAAATGAAAAAGCTACATCACCAGATGTCAGGCTACTTTATCAAATCTCTTTACAGGTGGAGAGGTTGGCCAGTGAGTTGGAGATGAGTCGTGATCTCAGCCGTGTGATTGTACATGTGGACATGGACGCTTTCTACGCTGCCGTGGAGATGAGAGACTGTCCTGAGCTGAAGGACAAACCCATGGCTGTGGGATCCATGAGCATGCTGGTGGGTTCAAATATTATGGACACAATTATGACTGTAATTTCTTCATAATTACACTTTAACACCAGACAGACAGAGAAGAAAAAGAAGTTTCCGATAGGTTTAAAATATTTATACTGGAGCACATCATTGTAAATATTCTAACCACGATCCTCACATTGTAACACAGCTATTCGTCTTCATATGCATGTTTCATATTCATTGCACAGTATCATCACTGTAATATTAAAAATCATGCATATTCAAGCCAGTGCTGATGTTATATGAAAAGCTTCAGGACAAATTTAAAGTGTTCTTTCTCTTTCAGTCGACGTCTAACTACCATGCCAGGAAGTACGGGGTCCGAGCCGCCATGCCCGGCTTCATTGGAAAGAAACTCTGCCCCAGCTTAGTTATTGTGCCCACCAACTTTGACAAATACAGAGCTGTGAGTGGTGAGGTAAGAGTGATGGCAAAACACACACACACACACACACACACACACAAAGAGCTATGCTATGCAGCCATTTTGTGGCTTCTTGCTTAAAACTGACAGGTGCGTGTGGATTCGTGTCTCTCTGTTAGATTCGGAGGATTTTTGCAGACTATGACCCTCACTTCCAGCCAATGAGTCTGGATGAAGCCTATCTGGATTTTACAGACCACCTGGAGCAGAGGCAGAGCTGGCCAGATTCCTCACGTACACATTACTACCGGGCCAGCAGCACCACCACAGGCAGGACACATTTATTCAGAAATGTAGAATGATTATATGGTGTAATGTGTTGTTTGTTTGTCACTACAACTTTTACTGTAGATGTGACAATATAACAGGGAACATTTCTGTTACATGATCAAAGTTTCAGGCATCAGATTATTGTGTGAAGTCTTTTTTATTTATTTATTTGGTAAAGGTGAGGAGCAGCTTCCCCAGGAGGCAGCGCCAGAGGACAAAGACCTCTCTCCAGTCCTTTTTGACGACAGCCCCAGCTCCTTGCCAGGCTCTGATGGTGTCAGTGCTGCTGCTGGTGCATTTGAGGTGTTTGGGACATCTGTCGAAGAGGCTGTGAGAGAGATGCGCTTCCGCATTGAGCAGAAGACCATGCTGACTGCCAGTGCAGGTGAGCAGATAACCATTCCGACGTGATAAAGAAAACACTTTCCTTTTTGCTTTTATAATTTGAATTCCGTAGGAGAACACACATACATACTCGACAAAAGTTAGAGGAATACTCTCCCCACAAAATGACCATTTGTGTATGTTACTCGCCCAGTGTTATGTTGAATTCATGAAGGAAACTTTGATTTTTCTCCCATGCTTCCATGCTGAATGATATAACAACAGCAAAACTGTATCAAAACATTCATTTACAAACTCTAACACAACACATGCAGTGTAATCCAAGTCTCATATCCAGTTGTATGTTCAGTACTTCCCAGACACATGTTTTCACTATAAGCTTACTAGTTAAAACACTTCTGCAATCTGCATAAGAGTAGTGCGCCTGGGTGAGCGTGTGTGTTCAAACTCTGCTCGTGCAGAGCATTGTGCACGTACAGGATGAGTAATTAATATACAAATGGTCATTTTTGTGGGTGAAATATTCCTTTAAGTATTTCACTCTTCTGGTGTCTTGGATTTCCTCCATCTCCCTCCTCCCTACTCTTTGAATAAACACAAAATTGTGAAAATATGAGAGGACAGGCAGCTCCACTTTAAGTATAATTCATCCTTTGCAACAGCAAACTGTTCAGTGATAATAATAAAAGTCTCTCTGGCACATTTTGTTTCAGAATTATGATGATGATTATGTGTATGTTTTACCAACCGTTCATTTGCAAACACATTCAATTCCGCTATTCAATCTTCCAGGAATTGCTCCAAACACGATGCTTGCCAAGGTGTGCAGTGACAAGAACAAGCCCAACGGCCAATACAGACTCCCCTCCACCAGAGAGGCAGTGATGGACTTCGTCCAGAATCTCCCAGTTCGCAAAGTACAGTACACATTGCTCAAACTAAAACATAAACACAGAGCCTCGCGTGTGAATAATTATGGAAAGATGTTAGAATGTAATCATGTGTTTTTGTATTATTAAAGGCTGACAGATGGGGTGTAAAGTGACTGATGATGTGCTGCAGACGGAAGAAAGATGGTTGAAAGAAAATCTGTATCAATATTTAAAAACTGTAAAAGTGTGTTTGTGTTTGCTTTCAGGTTTCTGGCATTGGGAAGGTGAGTGAGAAGATGCTAAACGCTCTGGGTGTCAGTAGCTGTTCTCATCTTCGCCAGCAGATGGCGTTGCTGTCGTTGTTGTTCTCGGAGGCATCCTGGCATCATTTCATGCAGGTTTCCCTGGGTCTGGGCTCCACATATATACCCAGGTACTTCACTGTCTGCTTCATAAAACTCAACACAACTGATTGAAAAAGAAAACAGTCCAGATAATACTTGCTGTCTTTGATTTCACACAGATATGAAGAAAGGAAAAGCATGAGCACAGAAAGGTTTGGTTTTAATGAGAAATAATAGACAGCTGAAATGATTTTGTGAGTGTCCACCTTCTTAACTCTCTCTCATTTTCTCTCTGTCACTTAATCTTTACAGGACATTTAAAGAACTGAGTAAAGTCGAGGAGCAGATGTCTTTTTGCAGAGAGCTCTGTGAAGATTTAGCAGAAGACATGAAGAAAGAAGGTCTAAAGGTAGTGAACGAGGGTTTCCTTGCCTATCTTAGAAACAAATAGACTCTTAAACACATCTTTGGCTACATCTACCAGGTCATACTGTATGTTCGAAGTTTTCATTTCATAGAGACAGTGCCCCAACACTCTGTGTCACTGGTTCCCAACCTGGGGGTCTGGACCCCTACTAGAGGTCGCCAAAGCTTCCCTGGGGGTTGCAAGGCTTTCTTGATTTTAAGGGGTGTAAGAAAACTCTTAAAATATATAGAGAGTAGACCTATATTGCAGAATTACATGCATTTCTGTGAAGAAAACTAAATGAAATTGTGACTTGTAAAGTTTAGATTATTATTTAAGATGTTAACTTTAAAAAATCTCACGGGGTAAGGGCAAGTAAAGACCTGAACAGAGGTATATTCACAAAGCCTTTACTCTCTGCTAAACAGCCTTGTCCTGCATCAGAAAAGTACGCAGTTAAAACAACCAAAGAGCTAACTGAACGATGTCCAAACGCTGGAGAGAAGGAGACACTGAATTTGTCAAAAAAGAAGCCTGTAGGCATGATTGTTTGAAAAAAATATTATATTATAGACAATGAAGTTTATAAAAAGTTACTAAAATATCAGGAAAACAAATTTCCGGTGCAATATGCATAAATAATCTGCTCAAAATTCATCAACTTGCTGCAGTTATTGCGTTCACATTGGGGTTAATTGTACAGTTTATCAGTTCTTCTCTACTGTTATTGTCATCCATTGAATATTATATGAAATATCTGTAAAATATGTCACTTAGTCAGGGGTCGTCTGCTTCCTCTATGATAGAAAAGGGTTTCCTTAAAGAAAAAGGGTTGGGAAGCACTGCTCCATTTGACTGTCTCAGGCTGAGCAAAGAGAAGCGAAATAAAGCGAGCACAGGGGACATTTGAACACAAACTGACACCACAAAAATGGATTGAGAGAAAAGGGTTGTATTGGTTAAGAAAAAAAAGAAGCGCCGTCTTATTCTTGGCCTCCCTAGAATCGTCCTGACTCCAAACAGAATCTCATACAATTACCTCAACCTGTTCATTCCCGTTCGAATCGATAGAGAAAGGACTGGATGGCTTGGCACGACCATCACCCCCCTGCCTGGGTCCTGATGTGGCCTTGATAGCTGGAGGAAATGGAGGGCCATTAAGGAGACAGCAGGGGCTACTAACAGCCTTGGAAATGTCTCCCTAGGAGATGATCACATTACTATGAGGGTGCTTTGTGCCATGTTACTCACAAAATGCATTCTGACAAATCAATCAGAGATATGACAGATTATACAGATTTCCATCTCTCCTCCATTTATGGCCCCTTTCACACAGTATCATTGATTATTGTTCTAATTAAGACATTATAAGACAGCAGAGAGAAATGATTTTAAATGTTTCCCTAATATGAGTTCAACTGTTTCTTCATTTTCCTGAAGGGTAAAACAGTGACGCTGAAGCTGAAGAACGTGAACTTTGAGGTGAAAACCAGGGCGTTGACGCTGCCGTACGCCGTTGCTACAGTGGATGAGATCTTTGCTGTTGCTAAGGACCTACTGAAAACAGAAATCGACAATGAAAGCCCCCAGCCACTCAGACTGAGGCTCATGGGTAATTAGTTATAGCAGTATAACTTAGATGTCAATTAATATAACTTTCTTGAAATAAATCTAAATGATCTGTGACTCACTGCGTGTGGAAACAATAACATGCAGTTGCCGTTTATTTTGAAGTTTTCTCCACATAATTTGCTTTTGTGCTTGTAGGTGTTAGGATCTCCGCCTTTGTCAGTTCGGATGATAAAAAGCCCCTGCAGAGGAGCATCATTGGCTTTCTTCAGCCAGGCAAGACTGACTCTAGTGGCTCTCCCCAAGGAATGATTCAAAAGCTTGACAAAAAGCATCTCTCCGATCACCCCTTCCAGGCGGGGCCCCTGGCGCAGAAGTACCAGCGACAAGAGGAAGTTCCCATGTGGAGTAAGCAGAGGGGGTTAGAGGGGGTGCAGACTGGTGAGGAACCCAAACAGTCTTTCTTCCAAAGGGCTCATGCCAAAAGACTGCAACTCCAGGCAGGGAATGCCTACACACAAGAGGAAGAACAGAATGCTTCTGTGATTCCTTCCACAGGCGCTGATGCCCAACAGGGTGTAGAGTCATCAACAAAAGCACACAAGAATAACTGTGCGGCCTCAGATCTCTCAGAAAAAGACTCAGTCTCCCTCCCAGAGGCCCAAGCTTCCACATCAGGCTGTGGTGGCAAGGTGTCAGAGAGCCTCACCTGTCCGGTGTGCTTCAGGCAGGTCAAGACGACCGATCTGACTGTCTTCAACACACATATAGACCAGTGTCTCAGTGATGCCTCCAGTAAGCCCAACCAATGCACAGTTTCTGACTCGGAGTCAGATCTGGATCTAGAAAACGACCCGAAAGAATGTGAAATGGTGAACAAATGTACAAGAGAGTGTGAGGTTGAAGTGGAGAAAGCAGAGAGCAGTAAGGAGTTGGAGGTGAACAGTAAAGATCCTAAGAAAGACCAGCACAGCTCAAAAAAACAGCCCGGGAAATCAATGGTTTTGTTGATCAATGGTGACAGCGAAATGGTGACCTCTCCACAGCCTCAGTCATGTAATGATAAAGGCCGCGTCCTCATCTGCCCAGTATGTCAGCTGACCCAGGATAGCAATGACCTCATTGTCTTCAACCACCATGTTGACCTCTGCCTGAACCAGGAAGTCCTACATGAGCTGGGGGGGCAGATATCATTTCCCATAAATCCACCCTCAGTTATAAATAGCAAGGCCAGAGGTGAGTGTGTGTGTGTGTGTGTGTGTGTTAAATGAGGTTGTTCAGTACTTCCAAACTAAACAGGAACCACTCTGTGCAGTATATTTATCATCCTACATCATTAAACCTGTAATTTTTTTTTGGCCATTTGGGGGCAGAAGAAACCAGTTGTGAGGGCAACATTGACATAGCACCTTTTCAGTTACTAGCATTTTGAGCCTTATTACTCACTCTCTTTTAGCCTTTTTTTTTTGGTCTCTACCAACTCCTAACACAAATATGTCTCTTAAGCTGCTCAATGCTCCACTGTGTTTACCAACTAGTCACCAATTGTGTCTGTCTGCTGTTTGGTGCTGAGCAGTAAGTGTACCAAGGGATTTTTTAAGATGATTGCTGAAAACGGATGCCTGCTGCAGCTGATAACAACACTATGAAAGCCGTGAGAGTGAATCAAAGAGCTGAAATTTGCTTAAAAGTACCTGAGTAACTAATAGGAACAACAGTTTTTGAAACTTGTCCAGCATTGAGTGAAACCGCTGCAGCCAGCAGCCGCAAAACAGGCTGCAACGTAACCACTTGGGACATGTTTGCGCTGTTAATTTATGTCCATGATAAGTGCATGTTTTTGACACTGACAGGCTCAGATTAATATTTTCAGTGTCTGACAGTTTATGGAAAGGATCCCAACAGAGATAGACCTTTTTGTAAAGAGGAAGATCCTTTTTGTTTGACCATAAAACAGCCCAGAAATCACCATCACCATACCCATCAGACTCCATCTAAAAAAAACTGTAATTTTATCATCATAAAACACACTTCATTCAAAGTCTACAGAAACAAACTAGAACTCCGTAAAGCCATTTTGGTTTGTCTCTCCACTGTCCCAACAATCACCAACTCTGGTTTGGTTGAAATAAACCCTTAATTCATCCAGTTAAATGTGAATACATGCTGGCTCTGTACACGCTAAAATGACTGTTTTTTAAATGGAGTCTGGTGCGTTTGGCCATGGTGACTTCAGAGATGGTCCTAGTTAAACAAAAAAGATCTTACTCTTTGGCAACAAGGTCTATCTCTGTAGGGATCCTTTCCATTCTCCCCATGTTGTCAGACACTTAAAATAACAATCTGAGTCTGTCAGCACTGAAACAAGCACTGTTATTGTATGTGAAAAGATGGTGCAAACATGCCATGAGTGTTTACATTGCAGCCTGTTTTGCAGCTGGCAGCTGCAGTGACCTTGCTCAGCACTCAACCAGTTTAAACAAATGTTGTTCCTATTAGTCACTTAGACACAAAAATAAAGGGAAAATAGAGTCCAGGTTGAAAAATACAGAAGGTACCCTTTAACTGCTGTAAAGCTGAGACGAGCTGCAGATTCAGGTGATAATTCTATGAAGAATCGCCTTACATTATTATAAAAAATACTGATTACAGCCACTTTAATAATTCATTTTGTTCCTTGAGTATGTTGGAGTGACAGGTAAGTCAGTGTTTCCTACATGGATCTAAAGTATGAGAGTGTTTCTGTCTCTGCTGATGACAGATAGGATCATGTTAGTAACTCCTATGAACTGTGGCTGTATGACATCTTTGGAGTTAACAGAAGGAATCTCTATTTGGGAGGATGTCGGTGGCCTATGACCTTGTTATTTACTGACAGTGACATTGTGTGAGATGTTTGTATCGATTCCTACAGAGAAAAGACATCTCATTTCAGCCCATGGGGCTTCCTTTGCCCTGGTCTTGGAAATGGCTAAATCACTTTCTCACCTATTCATTTCCTACAATGAACTGCACCCCAGTTTCCTCTTAAACAAGCCTGCCTCAGAAATTGCACTCTTTATATCCCTGAAGAGGTGTTGCAATTGTTTGCCTCCTCGGTGGATGTCATTTTTTTTTTGTCAGAGAGGAGGTTTTTTTTCTATCAGTGTTCATGAGTGTTTGTCTCTGTTGGCAGACAGAGGCCGTCTCCTGCCGGTGCAAGCAAGTACAGGCAAAACCAAACGGTGAGACTGCTTGTTTACAGATTGTCGCTTCACAGAAGGTTGACATGAAATATAGTCCATGTGTTGTGGGTAGAGAAGTAATAAGAAATGCTTTAATTTATAAAAATGTATGTCTTTTTTTTCTGACGTTTAGACGGGGCTCCCCTTCCTCTCCTCCTTCTAAAAAGGCTAAAGGCCTCTGCCCTCGCAACACCATCGACAAGTTCTTCAGGTGACAGCCATGCATGAAGAATATTCATCCTCGACTGGAAATGAAAAAACTCCTTTTCTCTGTCTCTCTTCAGAAAACCTGTAATTAAGATCACATATATAAGAAGCTTAGTATTTGCACTATTATGCCTTATTTGTTTTTTATAAGCCTTTCTCTGGACAAGAAATTAAAGATGAAGATAAGCATAATGTTTTTGTTGTATATGCAAAATGGATCATAAGGATATTTATTACATGCTGAGTGTTGGTACTTTAATTTATCTTCATGACATTATTTTATTCAGATATTATCAGTAATATCAATTTGTATTTATTGTGTTTTCTAATGATGATTCTGTATATGTTTAATAATGAAGATAAGAGAATTCTTCTATCGTGTAAATCAAAGTTGAAATAAATGACTATTCTGCAGAAATCTGGCTTTAGGTGATGACATTTTAACAATTAAAGGTCCAGTTTGTGGGATTTAGTGGCATCTAGAGGTGAGGTTGAGGAAGTGAAACTACACCACTGTGCCAAGCGAGTCTGAGAACTATGGTGAAAGCGTGAATGGGACAATCTAGAGCCAGTATTTGGTTTGTCTGTTCTGGGCTACCTTAGGGCAATACGGCGGACTCCATGGGAGAGGACCTGCTCCTTATGTAGATATTGAGCGGCAGCTCTGAGGCTGAAAAATGAAGCCAACACCGAAGTGCCAAAAACTGCAGTTCATCAAATGGCCACTGGAGGCTGGCTCCAAAATAGGGTAAATCCCCATAGACCCCCATGTATAGGTAATTACAACGTTCATGACAACTGAATGGGTGGTTAGTTTTTATCTCACTGACCCATTTACATTTTAGTAAGACTTAAAGTTACGCATAATTAAGGGAAGGGCCACTCTGATAGGCTGTTTGCGAGGCATCACCACGGTTTGTGAGTCAGATTCAGCCTTAGCTCCTCCACAGAGACAGCCTCTTTCTGATGTATGGCGAGCCCGTTCTCACTCTGAAGTCGCCAAAATTCGCCGCTCGGGCGGTTAGCCTCTGTGCTCCCCTGTCTCAGAGGTTCTCTTGTATCGCAGCTATGCCTGGATCGTGTGTAGTGGTTACACTGCTGTGTGTCCAACAACTTTTTTCCTAAATCCAACCATGTGTTTTTGTTGTTAAAGGAAAAAAAGTCAATTTGTGGCGTTGTACCTACATAGTGCATTTATTTTGAAAGAGACCGTATGTAAATGTTAAATTTCCTGTGAAAACGGAAGTGTATCTTGAAAGAAGACAATGCATGTAACAGACAGAACTTGACACAGTGTCCCAGAACGTCAACAACCAACATTCCCAGGGTACCTTGCACGTTGTATGTGGACGTGGAAACCAAACGTCAATATATGACTAGGTCGGAGTATGAATTGTGTTGATATGGTTTCCTCTAGCTCCAAAAAAAAACAAGCCAATAGGTGCCCCTTAAGCCTAAAATTTGGACCTTAATTACCATCAATTCTCTATTCATCTGACTTTAATCAAAAGGGGTTGGCTTACTGAAGAAATGCACAGAACTGGGCTAGTTTAAAGTAAGTTCATGACTTAAGTGTTGTTAGTTTTAGTCCTGAAAAGATCCCAGATGCATCCCAGAGCAACAAAGGACTGTTGCCTCAGGTTGTGTGAATGAACCATAGCTCCTGAAGAATGTGTAACTTGTCAAACTTCCCTGGACAAACAAGTTAAACCGCTATTAGAGAATTAGGTTAATCTTTTGTAAATGTTGAACTGTGTTCACTGGAATTAAAGTTATGAAACACTTGATATAACACTTTTATGTCATTCGATGCTTGATACGGATGAAGCTGTAGTCGTTCCACATAGTCATGCAACATAAGTGAAGTGTGACATGTTAAATATTCTGTTATCAGCAGTGTCTAAAGGGTGTGAGCTGGTAAAGTAAACAAGGATCAGCCCTCTAGCATTAAGAAAATAGTAGGAGTATGCTTCCACTTCAAGGCGTGCTGTTGACTATTTGAGGACAGGAGCTCCATGAAACTTGGTAAAACAAGGTTTTCTCATCTTCGATTGGCTCTGTTCTTCAGGTATTTAGTCAGGTTTCAGCACATACATTGGACTGTTTATTAAATTAGACTAAACCCGCCTTAGTCACACACACAGGTAATTTAAATGGAGAGAAGAGCTTTGGCACTGAGGGAGATGATCAGGAAGCATCGTCCTAAAAGGGAGAATTTGGACCCTCGAAAGTGGATGAGAATGGAGACTGTGAGTGGGTTTGCTGAGTTCATACTGAACAAGAACTCTGACAAAGACACAGACGACAGCTTCGACAACAAAGAAATGGGTGAGTGTGCAAGTACAACAAAATGAGAAATGGTGGAAAATAATTAAACATACTTTGGCTTTACAGAATATAGACATGAGATTGTGGAGCAATTAGTTATTTATTGTGGTGGACTGACTGTATGCCTCACTTCTTTACATGAGACACATTATATTTGCAGAGGGCTGAAACAAAGGTGATCTCATTGTAAATTCCGTCCACATGATCTGGTTGTGTATTAACAGGGAAACACTACAGGTGGATAGAGTAACATTTTTAGCATACACATATCACCATTACTGACATTAAGATACTTATTTTTTGTATCACAGGTTTTCTGAAATGTTATGTTTAAATATGAAAATGACACAGTATCTAATTAAATGGGTGCAGAATTGCATAGATTTCCAGTACAGAAATTCTGGGTAAAACCAGGTTCAGAATTCTTTTTTCACTTTTTTTTTTTTTTTTGTGGTGCAAAAATGAGCACAGTGGCCACTTTACAGGTACAAAACAATCAAGAAAACAAACACAGTGTATAAACACAAGGGCAGGAAAAGAAAATGGGTGACATACAGAGTTTGACTGGGTGTAAATGTTAACATAGCAGACCAAATAAGGATAAAGAAATAATACAAATTATAACAATACATGTACATATTGAAAAATAAGTAATTCATATGTGATGAAAAGGGAGTAATGCAAAAAATGAAGTAAATAAATGAATAAATAAATATTCAGCTGTTGTAGTATGAGGTGTGTGTGTGTGCGCAGATGCTGAGGGCTGGCTACTTAGCTGAGGTATGTGTAGGTGTGTGTGGGTGCACTGGTGTCACCATTCTTCTTTTCCACTTGGTTGTCATATTACAGTCAGGGGTTTTTACAGAGTGAATTTTGGAAATCTCTTTAAATCTGTAAATACTGTAAATAGCCATAAACAATCAAAATAAAAAAATAAAATTAAATCTGTAAAAACCTTCAGAATAGGCAATAGATAGGAATACAACTGAAAAGTCTGGTGAATGTGAGTTTATTTTGAGAAACTGGCATTTAAAGATATGTATTGTAGAATTCTGTACATTTTTAAACCATAAATAAGACACTACAGGTGAATAGGGTAAAAAAAAATGAGTAATTGATATGACCGTGGAACTTCCCCTGTTGATTACTTATTACAAGTTTTCTAAAATATTACGCATCAATGTGCAAATGAAGCATTATATAATTAAATATGGGCTTTTTGTGTATATTTCCAGAGTGGAAATCTAAACAAAATAAACACCCAAATGTATATTTTGGATGTTTTCTTTCCACTAGTCTGAAAGGCGACATATTTTAGAACTGTTTTCATCTGTAGAGTCTCCCCCTAAACTTTGTACATGCTGTAAGGTAATCTGGAGTGTATATGTAAAAAGCCGTAACCTTCCTGTCTGCTTTGCCGTGCAGTGCTTAATGCAGAGAAGGAGTTCATGGAGGCAGCTAAGAGAAACGATGTGGAGGCCATGAGGAGTCTTGCAAGAGGGCTGAACGCCAACGCGAAGAATGTGGTGGGTCCAGAGACAAACCTTTTATCCGCATCTCAGTGTTCTGTGTTTTATAATTCCACACACACATTTTTGTGGGACTTTGTGAAAACTTATATTCAATAGATAATAAACTGCTGAAACTGTTTACCTCAGGATAGCAGGACTGCCCTTCACTATGCAGTCGCTGGCAGAAACAAAGAAGCTGTGCAGCTTCTTCTGCAGCGGAGGGTCAAGGTGGACCAAAAGGACAGGGTGAGAGGGTTTTAAATGTCTACATCTGAAGACTTGTGCCAGTGACAGTATAGCTTATGTAATAACCACAACTTACCATTTTGTGCTCTGCATCTGACAGTACGGCGTGGCACCCATTCATTTGGCTGCCTGGTTTGGCAGTTTGGAGATCCTGAAATTGTTAGTGCAGGCTGGGGCTGAACAGAAAGTCGATAACGAGGTAAAGAAGCCGAGACTTTTGTTCTGCTGTTTTCTCTCTAACTGACAGAGGAGAAATATTCAGGAAATGGACATGTTGTCTTTTTTTGTGTAGCACTTCTAAAAGAAATGCTCCTCCTTAAAATCTTTTACGTTATCCTGGATATTGAACCTAACATTTGTATGCATATCTCATCACAAACCTCAGTGCAGATGCTCTTGTTCCTCTTGTTATATATCTTTTTGTTTCCAGTTACATTCCCTCTACTGCACACTACTCGATTAAACATAAACTCATTGTTTTCCCACCTCAGGAAGGGCTGAACATCATGCACTGTGCTGCCATCAACAACCACACTGAGATTTTAGAGTATATCATCAATGACCTGCAGATGAAAGAACTAGACAAAGACGACCAGGTATCTACTTGACACTGAATAACTTCTCGGGCAAGATATTTAAGACTACCAAAGTACATGTAAGTAATGTTTGCACCTTGATTCATATATTTCAGTCAGGACACCGACCGTTTGCATTGGCAGCAGAGCATGGGTGTGTTGAAATGATGGACATGCTGATTGAGCAATACAACATGGTTACCATGAAGCCCAACAAGGTGTGTGTGTGTGGACTTGTTTATCTATGCGGCTTGTGTGATATTTATGTGTGTGAGTGCACATTTGTGTGTCACACCTGCGAGAAAGCTCAACACTCTTTGATGCCAGTTGTTTCCCCTCCCTCCCTTCTGCCAGAGCGGGGACACGCCCCTGCACTTAGCTGCCAGGAACGGCCACTTGGATGCCGTCCAATTGCTGCTGCAGAGCTTTGATACTCGGGATGAAGTCAATATGGTAGACAATCAGTGTAAACATCCTCTCTATCACCGTTTGGTTTGTGACAGTGTGTGCTCAGTGGCTAATCCACTGCTGGATGGTGGCTCCACTTTGGATTAATTAAGATGTATCGAACACGGACTGGTTATCATCATATAACAAGACTAACTGGGTTCTGGCTTTAAAATGTTAAAAACACTTGTTACAAAAATCAACCTGAACCAAAATCAAATTAGTTTTTGGCTATTAAAGGGACAGTTCACCCCTAAATCAAAATTATGTATTTTTCCTCTTATCTATAGTTGGTTGATTTCTGATTCTAGTTGAGACCTAAAAAAATAGTTACATTTATGTGCATAGTATCGTAAGCACAACATTTTGTGTTTCTGTCATGGTTATCTGGAACAACTACAATACTTTCTGATGGTTTTCTGTGTTGCAGGACGGGGAGACAGCTCTGTACCAGGCTGCAGACAACGGCCAGGAAGAATGTGTCCTGGCCTTGCTGGAGGCTGGCTGTGACCCCAACATCCTTACCACGGTACCTGGTGCACTGTTGTTAATGCACCACTGTAAAATATTTTACTATGGTTAATCCTGTAGTTAGCATCAAAGTTTATGTGATAAATATAAAATATTATGTTTTTCAGGACTGGTAGAAGGCCAACAGCTAAACCTCCCTCTCCTCCCTCTCTTGTAGGCCCAATGCAGTGCTCTCCATCCAGTTTCGGAAAAAGGAGACACGTCTCTTGTCCAACTGCTCTTATATTACAAAGCCCACACGGACTTTCAGAATGAGGTGAGCAAACACAAGCTAGGTGGCAGCAGTACACTCTCTCAGTAAAGTTTTTTAGTAACACACATCACACACACACACCAACTATGCTGGCCCTGGATGCATATTATTGTAGTTTTACACACTTTCCCTTGAGCAAACAGTTCATTTTTTGGGCTCATGTAGTGTAACAGGATGTTTTTACTCTCAGAACCTAGAGGCTCCGATCCACCTGGCAGTAAGGAACAGTCACATCCCTGTCATCCATTCTCTACTGACGGCTGGCTGCAACGTTAATGTCACAGATAAGGTATGATCTCCCTGATAACACAGTAAAATGTCAGCCAAACTGTATATATGACAAAAAAATTATAAATAAATAGAGAAAATATTTACCGAATTGTGTTGTCTCTGTCCTGTCCTGTACCATAAACTGTTAGAGGTCCCAGACTGTGATGCATCTTGCTGCAGAGCTGGCCAGAATAGAAGTCGTAGAAATGCTTCTAAAAGCCGGCCTGGATCTGTCACTCCAGGATCGGGTAAGAATTCTCAATGACAATTTTTAGAGCTAACATTGTGTAGTGTAGTTGACAAATATGTAAAGTGCATGTGCATACCTTTTCCAGGATTTAATTGAGGCCAAAATCTGATAGTTAGGTCAGCCAGGTGGGGGAAAATGGTTAATTTAAGCTATAACTGCAGAACAATACATTAAAACTAAGAAAAATCACATTCTACTTCTGACACATTACAGTTGGGTTAAAAGTTTGTGTGTCTTGTTGCACTTGTTGGATTCTGAGTAGCAGGGTAAGACGGCTCTGGGTGTGGCAGTCAGAGCAGACGAGGTGATTATTGTGGACATGATCATCAAAGCAGAGAGATACTACGCCTGGAGGCAGGTGAGAGAGTGAAATTAAACTTGTAACTTTTACTGTTTTCATGTGCGCCACAATCCATTCTCGAGGCCTTAAAAATCAATAACTACGTTCATCACAAATGATTCATTTCCTAACATCACAATCTAGATTAGCCGAATCCCCTCTAATACTATTAAAGCATCTACGGTAAAATATGACTCACAACCCAGAAGCATCTGACATCCAATTTACCATTAATTTAATTAAGGATATGCCCACTTCCTTTTTCGCTCGATTTGAAAAATGTTTAACTCTGGCATTTATATTGCTAATCATGTGTGCGAGTGTGTTTCCAATAATCTCTTCATATGCCCCCTGCACTCTCTGTGGCTTGTGGCCTTTATCAGTCTGCTGACATAATTTAATTGCCCTTTCAGGCCAACCCGGAGCTTGATGAGAGCATTCACAGCGAGTATCCCCTCACGTTTAAACTCGACCACCGCTATGAGACCCGGCAGCTCCGGTCGACGGCCTGGCGCCTGGCGTACGAGCTCCTGAAACCAGGAGGATGGAAAAGACTGGCAGAGCACTGGGACTTCACTCAGGAGCAAGTGTCAGCCATTGAAGAGCAGTGGACAGGTGCCACGACTCACACTATCTGGACAGGCTTTGACTGTGAATTTGGCAACTCTCTGAAATAGTATAAATACGCTTCTTTAAACCAAGATGTTACAAGTTTAAATCCCTGAATTAATGTGGGAAATTTGGCAATGAATTTTTCTATTTTGTCTTCCAATGCACAGGAGCAGTCTTTAGCTTGTTTGTACTAGTCAAATTGTTTTCTTGGCTGTAAAGTGCTGTGTATGTGTGTTTGTCCACAGGTCAGCACAGCTATCAAGAGCATGGGAACAGGATGCTGCTGATCTGGCTCCACGGGGAGGAGTTGGCTCAGAGGAGCCCTTCTAAAGAACTCTTCCAGGGCCTCATCGTCACAGGGAACAGGAAAGCTGCAGGTACATTCAGTTAACATCTTTTCAAAAGAAAAAAAAATGGGGATACGTGCCAAAATTACATTGGAGAAAATTTGAATTTATGTTACAGATAAGCTTCGGATGGAGGCAGAAAGTTCCAGCAGTAAGGGCTGCAGCATTTCATGAGTATGGACACCGCAACATTTTGGACTGACAACAGCTTCATCTCCAACTACTGCTCTGTACAGGACGTCAGCAGCAAAATAATTTATTTTAGAAATAAAATTGTGCGTCAGATCATTTACATATGGCTTTGGTTTCGTAAACAGCCTGTGGTGCTGGACGGTCAGTCTCAATAGGAAACATCATCAAAATAAATTATTCAAAAAATGTGACTAAAACATTACAGTACAGTCTCACCTGTGCATAATTTAAAGCAAAACTTTCTCATAGAAATACATGTCTGTTTTGCAATTCAAAACTCTGTCCAGCTGGTAATAATTAAAAACATTTACATGTGCAGTTCTACACACCCGTATCTGTGTAGCGCTTTCCTGAGAGAAATCTGATTGCTCAAGAAATCGTGCACATTCATGAAAGAAAGCTGGAAAAATACAATCTTCACTTCAATTGCAGAGAGCAAGGGCAAGTTCAAGCCAAGATATCAAAATAAAATGGACTTTAAACGCCAAGGGAACTATTGCTAAGATTGTTGCATAGGATGTGTTACATTTTAAATCTAGACAAGGTGAGCAACACTTTCTGTGAGATATGTGTGTGTGGTCAGTCAACTACTTTGATAGAGTGGACATGGCACGTGCTGGTGTGTGTTCTGGACGTGCTTCTGCCTCCGCTGGAGCTTTGGCCCTGTTGTGAGGAGCGAGGGAACTTAGAAGCCGTAGCCTGACCGATGGTGAGCTGAAGGAATGAAATAGAAACAAAAGAAATGCTCATTGTTAGTTAGCTTCATGTGACTGAAAACTATACACATAATAGCACATAGATATTAATACAGTAGTGATGTACAGTCTCCCATACCTGTGTAACAGGATGATGGCGTTCAACTATCACAGAGCTCATGGGCGGAGCCACACCCATCACCTGGAGGTTGCTGCGTGCAGTCTTGCCAACGTCGCTACGTGCAGTGATGCGAGCAGTTACAGTCTTTGAGGGTTTTTGTTGACCGGCTGTGATGACACGACCACTCACCTGAAACGACAAATATTATGGCATCATGAATAAATGTGATTACAGTAGTGGAGACTGGAGTCGCTGCAATGATGCAAAGACTGTTGTGAAGGTGGACATTGTCATTATTTGTAATGACCTGTACCAGAGTCAGTAATGCTAACCTGTTTGTGGGAGCTTGCAGTGCCCCCATGTGAGAGGGAGCTGTGCACCACTGTGGTGGGAGGGATCACTTCTGCCCTGGACACGGGGGCACCAGAGCCCATCTGAGGAAAAGGGAATCAAGGGGAACAGGAACAGAAATATGAATACTTCTGAGTGTGAAGCCAGACATTGTAGTGATGCACAGTAACAATAAATAAAATTTGGATTGTTTGTATATGAAAGACTGATGGATTGAATGTTTCAATGAGCTATTCGTGAAGGAACTGTACTATGGCAGAGAAGAACCATGACGTGTAAAAACATGTATAGTTTCATTAGAAATCCTCAGTCTCACCATATCCTCTACTTCGCTGTGGAAAACTTCCGGGCGGTCAAAGTGTACTGGGCTGAACCGTGCTGAAGAGATGGGATATGGCTGAAGATGAGCCAATGAAGCAGAGACAGGTTCCTCCTGGGGAGGAAGAATATCTACACAAAGAAAAAACATATATCAATTTGAGTCAGACTCTGGCACAATATATATTCTTCATACAAGTTTGTTATAGTTACAAAAATCACTAATTTCAGTGCTGAATGTTGGACTGGAATTTAAAAATGTTCTGTTTTTGATCAGCTGATTTGGAAATCTTCCTGTGAATAAAATGCCTACCCATCTAATATGTTTCCTTTTTTAACTCTCTGTACTTATGAGCAAAAATAAGCAATGTTACATGTGTTTAAAGGGGCTCCATGCGAAATTCAGAGTGAATGAGTTGTCTGTGCATGGGCTTAACATGGAGGTGGCGGAGCTGGCAGCTAGCAGCTAACGGTGCTACGCTCCTGTGATGATTTGGTCCTGGAATCAGAGGTAACTTTCGTAAAAGCGCAGAGCAGAGTGGCGACGATTAGCTAGCCAGTTACACTCATAGGGACTCATGTACGTGCAGCCGAACCCACTTACCACGACAAATCATATAAATAAAATACTAATAAAGAAATTTGGATTACAACACACAGAGGTAGTGTGACTTCATTCTCTGCTCAGGACACCATTACTCTAATATATCTTTACATAGCCAAACAGTTTGCTGCAAAATTAATGCTTTAAATGTCGCATACAGAAGTTTGACCTGGAATGTAAATACCTTTATCGTCTCTTGCTTGTTTGAAGATACATTAAGAGTATAATTTTTAAACTGAATTATGTATTTGACAAAGAAACCAATGTCAACTACACACCCCTGCTTTGGGCAAATTAAAAGGGTGACTGATCATTAATAATGCATAACTCATATCAAGTATGTGTACTCAAAAAGGCTAAATATCACTTTACATTAATTTATTTTGATAGTCTGGGAGGCAAAAATGAGTATGAGTAAGAGTAAGAGAGCCATATTCTCTTCACAGCCCAGTTTGACAGTCATATAATAAAACACATTTCAAGTTGCAAGACTCATTAAACCTGAAAGCAGATGGTTGAACAGAAGATCATGCTAGAGTTCATTTGCACAAGCTAAAGAGTGAGATCCAGCTTCAGCAGCCATGTGCTCACCAAAAATAAAGCAAAGAACAGCAGAATAGAGCTGTTGCTGGATCCTAACTTTTGATGCTGATGTCAGGGTGTGAATGTTGGTGTTTAACAGCATGATACCACAGATCTATCCTTGCTGGTGTCAATATGACTGTGTGCTGATAACGGTGTAATGCTGCGAGTTTTTAGGGCAAGTTTTAATGTGCTAGTTGTTTTTTTCTCTATAAATAGGTTTGTATAGTCATTCTGTTACAGACCATGCTGATCATGAACTTGAGGTTGCTCCGACCGTCCCTCTGTGGTGTGGAACATGCCGAGAGCCTCCATGTTGAGAGCACACACACCCCTCATGAAGGCTTTCTTCATTGATTCTTCATAGCGCTCTCGCTCCAGTCGCAGTCTGTGAATCTCTGCCTGGGCCTTCTCTATAGCCTCACAGTGCTGTGGAGTCAGGTGGCAGATGATATAAAGAATCAGTCATTTATCAGATTAATAATACTGACAAAAACAGTGGTGCTTTGGGTCGGCTTTGCATGACTCAGCTCTGTAAATGTATAATGCATCTTTCTGTGGTCAACAATGCAGCATCACCACACATACACTGTTTCATATGCAGGTCGTTCAGTTGCTTATTTACCTCTGCCAGCTTGGCCTCATACTCTGCGGACAGGTGGGTGCAGACCTCCTCAGCCCTCGCACGGCAAGCCCGCTCCACCTTGACCTTCCAGTGTTTCTGGATCAGAGACTGCCAGCCTGACCACACCTTCTTCTTCAGCTGCAAATTGTAGTGCTGCCGCGCCACCTGAGTGGCATGAGCCTAGCGGGGAGCCACAAGACCATGAAAATATTCACACGGGGAAATAATTACACCCATTATTCATTCGTGTGCAGGTGCAGTACATTTTTTCTCGTGGTGCACTTTCTGTCATGGTTTCGACAAAAATATGAGTCATGCACTATATTAATGGCATAAACAGCTTTATTCCCATAAATGTCACTTCCCCTCTTTTTAAAATATTTCCACTTTATCTCATGCACTTGTTTGATTAGTAGTTTGGTATGAAAAGGAACAGATTGTTCATCAGTGCACTGACAAAATTTGCATATGTAAATTTTTGTAAGAGGGGATATTTGTGCAAAAATGTGGCATACGCATGTTCAGTGTGCAGTGACACAGTGATGTATGGGTCGGTAACTCATGCAGAGAGTGATCATTTGCATAAACCATTAAACTGCACTGACAGTAAGCTACCAATGTTAAGATACTTCCACTACCAGTAACTTTTCATCCATTTGAAAAGTATAATATACATGTACGATATACAGACAATCACTGCAGATCAATCCCATTATCATATGCAGTAAGTGTTTCCCATACAGCGGATTTATCTGTGCAGCTCACCCAAACAGATTAGCCTCACCCAAACAAATATTTTATCCTGCCTTTACTTTTTGTATCACGTTCATGCAGTAGGTTTATTTTGTCTGAGCCAGGTTAAGTCATCTTTAAAGTTATCTACACAGTTCATAAAATATCAAATTTAAAAAGTACAATACTTATTGCACTCTGTTAACTAAACTAGTAACCATCTCTGTGCATTTTCTTAAAGTAAAAGGACACAGGAGAGATACATGTGGGTTATGCAAGATGTGTGAGTTGAAAATTTTAAACCATAAGGAAGAGAAACAGCAAACACTGATGCTGTGTAAGGCATCATGTAAATACGCTCCTTGCATTCAATGGCCCACGAAATTTAGCCAATTCATACAAGAGCCTGTGAAGACACCAGCCCCTGCTGTAAATAGTTTCTAGCCTGTGAGAAGCTCCACAATGTTGTCAGTGTACCTCCTCTTTGGCCTCAGTGTGCTTGAGTCTCCAGTGGGTGAAGGCCCTCATTTTTTCCTGCTTTTCTTTGTGTCTGTCCACCACCTGGCTCAGGTTCACGATTACCTGAGAGAGGACACATGACACAATCAGCTTGTCAGTTTCAAGTTCTAAATGTAAAAAATAATGAGACAGAATGTGAAAGTGAGAAAAAAAATCGGTCTGGTACTTAATGCTTCACCGAAAAAACCCCCCAGCACATTAAATACAGGAGACAGCAAATAAACACACATGCAGTCACCTCATCTTTTCTCTGGTTGGAAGTCTCGTAGGTGTGTAGCAGCTCCTTCAGGCTGTCTATCTCTGACCTCAGGCCAGCTGTCCGGGCTTCATGCCTCTCCCTCTCTTTCCTCATCTGCAGCTTGTGTTGCTCCATGAAGGCCAGCTTCCACTTCCTGAGCTCCGTCAGCACATTTGACTAATTAGGGAATAGAGGGTGGGACAGTCACAATGTGTTCATTATGCTTTAGTAA